ACCTCTTCTGGATTTTGATGACACAATAACCCACGGTGGCTGGGTTTTTTTTTATGGTAGAGCTTTAAGTCAATGTAATGTATGGCTCAGACTGGTTCATGAGATGGAAGAGTTGGTGGTAACAATAGAATGAGATTTCCAGCATAATGGCCTTTCTGTCTTGCCCACAACTGAATTCTTGTCAATCAGATTTTTTTTAAAGATTATAGATAATATTAGTGAATTGTATGCAGCCGGTTTTCCCCATAACACATTATCTTGAAATTGTGCACAAACAGTACTTTCTAAAGGCTGGCATTATAACTTGACATTTGTGCCATGCTTCCTATTCTTAAATGACATTGTGACACATGTATCCTTCTATTAGTAATCAAGTGCTTGTCGTCTTGTTAGTAATGGTAGCTTGACAATTAAGAGATAGCCAAACCCAAAAATATCTGCAAAATAATTCATGCTGCCGCAGCTCAACGGTAGAACAAATGCTTTGCATGCAAAAAAGTCTCAAGTTCAACATTCAATTTCCAGCATCTCCAATTAAGGCAGGAAAAGACTGAAATCTTGGAACTATAATTATCTCAGTTCTGATTTAAATGGATCAATTTGTCTTCAGAGTACAAGGTAGCATCTTATGTTCCTAAGGGTTTAAGCTTCATCCTTATCCAAATTCATTGTCTGGTATATTTCCCAAGGCTGACTGTAGCCTATCACTATTTGGATTCAGAGTGAAGATGTCCATTCTTACTGAAAGCTTAATGTGTTGCTGAACAAATACTACATTGCAATGGGCAAGCAAAAATTTTGGTCAAATGAAAAGAATGGGATTGATATATCTTAAACATACCATGAAAATAATAATGCTTCTCAGCTTGTTGGTTACATAGAGGTAGTGCCTATACAAAGTAATTTTGATATACCTTGAAAGAGGTCAAAATGTTCTGCAGTAACTATGTGTTAAATCTTAAGCTCTGTAGAGATTTGTCAGCTTGTTGTGCATCCTCCTGCTGTACCCCTATTTGGTTTGCTTTGAGAAGACAGAGCTGGTTATTTTTTTTTTTTTAAGTTCATAGAAGGTTTAAGACTAAGCTCCTTGGAAATTTTAATTCACTAATTCAAATTTTAATTCAGCAAACAATCCGTCTGAATTTTGTATCATAATTCAGTTTGCCATATGTAGACATTTTAACATGAAATAGTATATTTCATTAATTGCATGTATAATCATTATTAACTGTCTTTGGGGTGAAGGGATATGCATGGTTTGCAGTCTCTAGAGGGGCAGAAGAGAACATAGAGAAGACTTTAAAGTGCCCAGTGCTTACTATTCCAGCATATTTCTGTATCGATTAATATATTTCCATGGTGTACCTTGTGCAGTAGTACTTTTAAAGAGTGGACATTTTGTGGCTTACCAAGGCCTTTCAGTGTGGATTGTCTGCAGCTGTAGTCAAATGGCAAGGAATATGGGATGCCTTGTTGGGTTAGATTCAGGCTATATGTGTACATTTTGCACCTCTGTACAAAAGCTGCACTGTTCTTTCCAACATTTAATGCATTTAAAAGGTCCATTTTCACTTGTTTTTCATCAGCCAGAAGTTGTAAAGGAAATTATGATATTTGATGTGTGGGTTTAAAGCTGAAATGAGCAACTTGTGGTCCTCCAAATGTTTCGGCCTGTAATTTCCATTAGCCCTTGCCTTTATAGCCAATAGTGTAAGGGATTGTAGGAGTTACTGGCCAAACCTCAGGAGGGCTGCAAGTTGCCCAACCCTGGTACAGAGGCACAGTGTCGTTTCTGGGCACCTGTTTCCCCCATAATGTAATTACTTGAATTGGGACGACAAACTTAGGACCATAGCAGAGCTCTGCTATCTGAAGAGATCCAGTGTAGGATGGACTCGTCTGTTATCAAGCTTTCATGATAGGTCTCTGCTGAAGATGTGACAGTTATGTAGGTTCTTCCAGTGGGCCTGAGTTGCACTAGATTTCAAGTACGAGTAATTGCAAGGTATGGTTCACAAAATCTCTGGTGGAAATAATGTATCACTAGTGGGACGGGGGAGCCTATGTGTAATATAAAATTTGTGAAGTGGCCAGAAGTTCTTTTTTATTTGTTCTTAATATTTTAAACCTCTCAATGTTTGAAAATGTGGTAAAGATTTAATAGTGTTCTTTTTCTTTATGGTTTTGTAAATTGGTAAAAACTGTAAATGGAGATTGATGAATTTCTTGCTGTGAGAGATGCTTATCTGAATCAAAATCAATCAATCAATCAATCATCAATCCATATGGTTTTGGAGTAAAGCCTGGAATATTATTCATAAATACTTGCAAGAACTTATAAATCTCATTTGCTTAAGAAGTGACTCTAAAGTTGTAGAACTTTTTAACATGGCTTAATTTACTGGACTCCTGAACTCATTGTAGTTCTTCATTTTCTGAGTTTGTGTCAGAATTAGACCATCCATGGACGTTTATGTGAAAATTCTCTTTTCTGGGTTTTCCTGAAAGTACAAAAATCTGGAAAAAATAAAATATTGATCCAGTGTTAAGAAAGAATTATCATTAGAAAATGTGCATTCCTTATACAGAGAGAAACTAGCCTCTAGGTATGAGCTGTAAACACGCTTATTGTGAGGCATGTCTTAATGTGTTTAAATTGACATAATAGTAATCCCCTTTAATAAGGATTTATTGGAGGAGGAGAGAGGACTTGGTACTTAGCAATTATGTTTTGTGCTTCCTTGTTTCTCATTGCTTACATGATTGTAAAGTCAGCTGCTATTTGTACATGAGCAATGTTTCCAGCTGGAAAAGCTGCTTCACAGGCCTGTTTTGTTTTTGGAAATATTGTCAAACTCTTGTTGACGAGCCTTTGCAATAAATGACTGTAATCATGAAAAGAAAACACAGCAGGCACATGGAAGATTTGGTCAGAAACATATCTGGATTATAGAATTGCTTTTGTGAAGTTGAAGCTAAAGTTTCACAAGTTGCATTGTTCTCCATTGCTGAATTGGCATTGAATTTCTTAACACTTCTGAGAATTTCAGATCTATACCTGAGTGTCTGGGACAGAAAAGATGAATGTCAAAAATGTGGAAACCTGTTTGATAAAAAATAATCTAGCATGTACTATCCCCTGTGTAGAACAAAAATAATTAAAAGGAATAGGCTATTTGCTAGAACTCCATTATGCACCAGCTGGAGCCAGATGCAGAAGGTATAGATTTTGAATTAAAGAACTCTGAGCACTTTTAAGTACCAGAATGGGGTTCACAGCCCCTTCCGTATCCCTCCCCACTTTCTGCATTTCACCGTACAATAGTGCAGGTGTTTCTTTTTATTGTGAAACAGTTGGGAAGCCAGAAGTGTTTGCCAATCTATTTTGAATCCCCAGCTGTCTACAGATTGATCCTATTCTACCTTGTGTTTATGTTTAAGAATAGGGGAAGAGCTGTGCTGTATCAGACCAAAGGGTCATCTAGTCCAGCAGTCTGTTCTTACAGCCAACCAGTTGCCCATAGGTCTTCTCAAGCATGACATTAGTGCAATGGCATCCTCCTGCTCCAGCTCCCTGGCATAGATAAAGGAATACTGCTTCTGATACTGGAGATAGCACAGAGCCTTCAGGAGCAATAGCCATGATTCCATTAATTGGACAAATTCCAGAATTTGCCCAGTTTCTTTCTAAAGCCATCCAGATTTGGCAGCTATCATTGAATCTTATGGAAGTTAATTCGCTGGTTTAACTATGTAGAATTGCCTTTAACCTGCCCCAAATCTCTCACCACTCAGTTTCATGGGATGACCCCATGTTCCAGTATTATGGGGGAGGCTGAAAAATGTCACCCAGTCCACTTTATCTGTACCATGTGTAATTCTGTACATATCTGTGATGTCAACTGTTACTCTTCCTTTTTCTAAGCTAAACAAACTGTGCCGTTGTAACCTTTCCTGTGCCATCCATTGATTGTTTTAGTTGCCCTATTTAGCAATATATCTCTGATAAGAGTTTGCTCCCAAGGAATCTTTTCTTCTTGAGGAGACCTTCTTTTTAATCAAGCAGTTCTTATGAAAGGAACTCTGCTATCCTGGCTCTAGAGGCAACAATGCTCTCAGGAGCTACAGGTTGCTCAGGCTCTTTCTTAGAGGCAAAGTTTCCTAGCGCTTACAGGGATGGGTCATTTCTGTGAAAGTGTGGCTATGATATCTCTGAGTATGTCTGTAGTACAGTTACAATGCCCTGTATAACATTTCATTTCTGGTTGAAGCAGTACAAACATGGACATTTCCCCTTTAGTTTTATTTTGATGCTGTAGAACTTGTGCTTTCTGGAATTACTTTATTTTGAAAATGCACATTTGAAAAATTCTATCATAGTTTTGCATAGTTCTTCCTCGTTGACTCACCTGTGTACATTCTGACATAGCAAGACATGAGGAGGGAAAAGGTAATAGAGAAGGGGGGAAAAGATGGTGATGGAAGGATAGAAGGTAGGTTGTGGATGGGAGAGCACGTTAAATGTTGGGTTGTAAGGGAAAGGCGAAAATTTTAGCAGTGTAATCGTTACTCTGAAGTTTGACAAGGAAAGAAAAAGCAGAACAAAATGAACTATGCCTACAAGGAGGCTATCATGTGATCATGCGCTACGTGTGCTGTGCTTTTGAGGCTGCTATAGTCTGTAAGGAACAGAATAGAAACAGTAACATTGGAAGACTGAATTTGCATTAGATGGACATATTATAATTGAGTTTCTGTTCTGTATTTTTGGAAATAGAGATAAAATTTGTTGATACATTTTTTCAGCTGCATGATTTAATAAAAGCTATAAGTGCTTTAAAATGCCCCTGAAAATAAGAATTTTGTAATCAAATAAAATTACTAGGAACTGTGATGCTGGGTAGGAATTATTGACTGGTTTTCCAAAAGGTACTTAAGAAAATTTAATATGATACAGCTCTCTATATTTGTGTGTTTTTAAATCATTTTTTCTTTAATAGGGTATCAAAGCACGCATTCTGGAAACTCTTGTTATGCTCATTCTACTTGCACTGCTTATCCTTGGAATTGTGTGGGTTGCTTCAGCTCTCATTGACAACGATGCTGCGAGTATGGAGTCTCTGTATGGTATGGAGGTTTTCATAATGTTCTGCCCTTTTTAAAGCATTGAGATAAATAACTGGCATGTAAAAGTCAAAGCGAGTTGCATTTGTTAGGTCAACAGTTGATTTCATTGAAGCTAAAATAACTCAAAAAATGAATATGTGTTAATGAGATAATTTGTCTGATTTTTTTTTAAAAAAAAGACTAGTTTTTTTCAGCTAGCTGTGTTTGGCATTAAACTGCACATGTATTTTTGTTCTAAAAATTCATATAGGTGATCAACCAGTTAAGTTAGTTCCAGAATAATTGCACTTGAATATAGTAACAGGCATATATATTTTCATATTACAATCTAGGTCACACAAATAGTGCATAAACTGAACCCATGTTGCATTTCTATTTTCAGATCTTTGGGAATTCTACCTCCCTTATTTATATTCCTGCATATCACTGATGGGGTGTTTATTACTTCTGCGTAAGTCTTGCAGTATGTACTAGAATAAGAAATAATGCACATCAAACTATTTAAAGCATTCCTGGCCTTTTAGTACAGTGATCTTCACTTTTCACCCCTGGTTATTTTTGTTAGACTTGTGCTAGCAGTGATAACACACGTTTCAGGAATACTTGTTAAAAATACATCCTTTGGTTGCAAAAATCTAATTTTTGAATAAACCATACCATGGCATTTATAATAGCATTTTTCATGTGTATGTACTATTTTGCAAATTTTATTATTTCTCACTTTATCTCTTTTACAAAATGGGAAATTAAGAGCTAGACTTGAGAAAGATACCTAGGATGTCATGAAAATTTGGTATATTCAACTTAAGTATTAGTTAGAAGCTAGTCTTTCCCAGTATAGATCTTTGTTAAGATAGGAAATTTATAAAAAAACTGTTGTTCTTGGTTATATTGATCCGAAAGTTATATACTTAAGCCAGTGTTAATTCATTAGTTCCAGATATTTAAAAGATTCCTTTGAAAACATAATACTAACTGCTGGTAGTCTGTTGAGTTTTATATAGCCCATGGGGAAATAGTGCTGATATCCAGCTACTTCAGCAGATGTATAGACAGTATTAACATCAAAATACTTCTATCCCACCTTTCACCAATGCTGGGTTACAACCACAAATTATAAAATGAAAATCCAAGTAATAAAATCCATAAGCAATAGAAACATTTAAATCTCCATCTAGCCCAAATGCATCCTGGAACAACAGAATCTCAGTTAGGTGTCTGAAGCAACAAGGCCAAACAAATCTCCCAGAGCAGTGAACTCTATAGATGCCTCATTTTGGGTGTTACCACTGAAATGGGTAAGAACATAGGAAGCTGCCTTCTACTGGGATTAGATTGTTTGTCAGTCTAGCTCAATATTACCCGCTCTAACTGGCAGCAGGTCTTTACCATCTCAGACAGAGGTTTTTAACATCACTTGGAACTTGAGTACTTCCAATGAAGAATTGAACATTCTGTATGAGAAACATAAGCGCTACCAGTCAGTTGTCTTCCCTGCCAAGTGCATGTGCAGAATGTGGATCCAAATGTGGAATTTGATGCATATGGAAGAATTGTGCCATTTTGTCTGACCTCAGGACACACTTTGCTATGGAATGCTACACTGAAGTCCAAAATTTGTTGCCATTTGGTGTGGGTAGAAGGGTAGGATCTGCTCCCTTCAAGTAAGTCAGAAGCCCCAGTGGATGGTGTAGTTACTTTCATCATTGTGTCAGTTCTGACATGAAACTTCCCATATTTGCATCTCATTTTGTTGCATTGTTGTTTTCATATCATTGAAATTTAAAATTAAAAATATTGTGAGCCAGTTGCCCTGTTTAAACGGAAACTCGCTTTTCATGTTACTGGCAGTATCTTGGCAATATCTGGTTCTATTTTCTTTGGTAAAATCTTAACTTTGTATAACAGAGACTTTATCTGTGAAATCTGGCTGGTTGATGTGTGGCTTTCTCCACAGTATGCACGCCAGTGGGACTTTCACGAATGTTTACAGTGATGGGTCAGTTGCTTGTGAAGCCAACGGTAAGTACTGCATCGTTTTAATGATAAATTTCAAACTAGAAGGTTGATTAATGAACCAGCTTGTTGTTTGCAAGTTGTGTTAAGGCATAGGCCTTTTGATTGTTCCCATAAGCTTCTGAATTCTAAGATTTATGAGCATCCTGTGTGGAGCAGAAGAAATTGTAGAGATGGCCTTTGCCTGCCTGCATCTCCCATTCTGTAGTTCGTCCAGGCAGCCAGTTTTGACCATCTTGCTAAGGAAATGGAAGGACGTTGGAATGTTGTCCAACTTTTCTTCCTGCTGCATCCCATTTACTGATCTCGAAGAAGCAGCCAGTATGATTCTTTCGGCTCTGGCTGCTGGAAGCTCTAATTTTGACTTAGGATCTGGGAAAACAAATTATCCGATGCCCTGCCAGATGTTGTCTGTGGAACTTTAGGATTGCTCTCTTAAGATGTCTATAAGATTCTCCTAGAAAAACAATCTAAATTTGTCTTAGTTTGAATATTTTTGTTTTATATTTTCTGATAGGAAGATGAGTTTTGCTATATAAACACTAACTCTACAAAAATTATATTTCTAACTTTGTATAAAATTAAATCTGTGTATTTGCAGAATTATTTGAGATCTTGGTCTCTATCGTTGCTATATCATTTTGTCATAAAACGTACTGATATTTAGGAGACATTAAAAGGTACTGTATAGGACAACATGTGTTTCTTTACATTTAGAATATTCTGTTGTTTGGGGATAAGAGAAGGTTCCTGGTGGACAAATCAAGCCATTTATGTGAATATTCATTAATAGAATGTGGCACAGCCACTGAAAATCAACCTGGATAACTTTGTTATGTAGAAAATGATTAAATGAATGTGACCTGTGTTATTTGCTCTTTTTTGTGGCCTTAAACTAGTTTTACTGAACCATAAATTAATGATATTGAGACAGTTGATCCATTACGTGCTGAAAGCCCAGAAAGCTCTCATTCATAACATGGCATAAGGCTGCTTTCAGTGCATGCTTTTTAAAAATGAAGTACAAGAGTTAAGTTAAAATGGTTGAAAAGGTGATGTTTTTAATTGGTGACCTAGGACCAGTTCATTGTGTGTAGATCACAGTTCTCTATCTAGGTTATATGGGTGAACTGTCTCTGATGTTTGTTTCTGAATTTAGATCCTTGAAGACCTGGACGAACAGATATATATAATCACTCTAGAAGAAGAAGCTATCATAAGAAGGCTAAATGGTAGGCTTGTTTTGATATTTCTGATCATTCTTATTGTCCTTTGACTGGGCTCTATATAGAGGCAAGAATGTTATTTTCACAAAAGTTCTAGGGATTTATCATCACATAATTTATTTTTGTTTCATCTCTGCCTTTACTTAGAGCTATGCAAATCAGCATTACATTTTTATGTTGGAATTAATGAAAGAGAGTACTCTTGTTTTCTGTATATAGTATGGAAGTTTTTCATATCAGCTTTCTTGACACCCTGGCTACTTGCTTTTACAGAAGTACTTCTAACAGTGAGATAGTGTTTAATGATAGTAGATACCAAAACAGTTTTATTGAAAATAAGTGTCCTTTCTCATCAGATTGTGTGTGATTGTACCTACTACTTTAAACAACTGTGAAAGAATTGCGGAGTTGGCTACTTTGAGGCATTTTAGTCAGCTTCTGTTCACCAGAGATTGCCATATGTTACAGGTATAACAATCATGTCTGGGTATTCTGGTTTTTCTGTGCACTCAGTCTTGTTTTTTTTACCCATAATTAATATTTTTGTTGATTTAAATCCTTCTAATTTATCAATTCTTTTATAACACTTGGTTGAAAGGGAACACTAGAATTAAAATCCAGGCTATAGGCCAGTAATGGATGGTAAAGGTCAGAATGAAGGTTAATTGCTTTCTCACTGGCAGGAGATGAAGAAAATGGGAACCAATTCTAATAGTGCACCAGTTGTATTGCATGAAAAATGGTTAGTGCTGACATCCACTTTAAAGGCACAGTGAAGGATATACTCTTTTGAATGCTTCACGGAAGATGTTAGAAGAAATTCACAGAATGAAGGCACACATCTCCTTTCCAGTAGATGGGATATACATGCATTCTGCTGGATTGTAGCCCAGGAGTTTATATATTATGCTGTTATGAGGCTGCTATTGTTAAAAAAATCCATAAATTAATAACCAAGGGCAGGATGAGCACAGCATTGATCAAGGTGATGTACAGTATTTGCAGACAATAGGTGTTTATCAACTATATTTTGTAAGTATCTTATATAAAGAGAAATTGAATTGAAAGAAGATCTTTTAGAAGTTTTAAAGTACCTGCTCCATAGGACAGATTTTTCTGTTAGTTATGACATAAAGGTGTGCGCAGTGAATTTATTTAAGGCTACAGTAAATTATAACTTCTGTGTTTGATGTTAACATGAACTGCCATTGTTGTTGGATATTTCATGTCATATTGGTGCCTATGGAAGTTTACAGGGTTTTTAAAATATAAAATGAAGTTTTGACTCCGATTCACAATTGTCTTAGAACTATCTACTCTCAGGGAATAAAACAGACTAAAGATTAAAATATATTTTGTTTGCTCAGAAGTTTCCTATGCAATTGTCTGAGTTCCATTCCTGTCATTTCCAGGTAAAGCTGGGGCAGGGCTTTTGCCTGGATTCTTGGATAGCTGGTGGTGGTTAGTGCAGGTGGTGCTGACCGGTGGCATGATGCAGCATCAGTCAGTTCCTCTGTTCCCTGTCCCAGGAGGTGCCATTCTACTTCCCCTTCCCCTGGTTTTCTGCCCCAGTCCCACAACCAATCAGTATTCTGGTTTCATTGAGCATGCTCAGTTCTCATTGGGGTGTTTTCTAATGATTATTTTTGTATTTCTGCAACCTTTGATTTCCCCCAAGGATTCCTGTAAATACGTATTTTACCCTTTTTGGCTTCATAAGGATTTGCATTTGGAGAAATGTGTTCACTGTTATTACATATGATGAGTGAGTACACATACCATCTGGCAAGTGGTTTAACTCTTTGCTGGTGGACTCACACATATAAGTAACAACTGCTGCACATTTAGTTCTTGGTTAACTGTAAGTGTCTACCATTGCCCAATATTAGGTAGAAATACCTTCCTGTTTGACTTGCATATAAATAACCTCACCACTTGCATAACGTGTAGCATTGCCCCTCTTGCCATTCCATCCTTCCCCTTCCACTTTTGGAAGATGGTTTCTGCCTCTGTGCTGTGCTGTCAGATGTTATATTTTATGATGGCTATAGGTTACGATGTGGCTGAAGTGATTAGTCATAGGAAAGCTATTTCTAACAGTCTTTAATGTGTGCTCTGGCTCACATCTGTCTACAACGTACAAGTTTTTCATCGTGGTCTCTGTGCTTAGAAGCTTCCTAAGCCTGTGAAACAATTACTTGAAAGCTGCTTTGGGATAATTTCATGTCTAACGAATCTAGAACCTTTGCACTAGTGGAACAGAACTTTTGGATGGGAAACCCTGCCCTTGTATGCTAGTGAGAGTGCACGAATGCGAAGCAAGGAATAGGGAAGACAAGAATGAAGGTGTAGGTTGGGTGTTTGGCTGAAATTCAAATACTAATATAATGAAAGTTTGCAGAACCTGCCTAATTGTTATGCTTTTGAATTAGCAATAGTTTTAGTTCAGGACTTCCTTGACTCCCTTCTAGGAGTCAAGCTGGAAAAATATAATTTACCACCAATCTTGTGCTTTTAAAATCCTGTTATTTTAAATCTGTCATAAGGTACTGTAATGCCTTATGGTATTAAAGCATTTATATCTTTAATAAGTGAATTTTATATAACTTAATTGATACAGGAAGTTAGCAGAGAGGAAGCAACTCATATGCATTTGTGGGTTTGCAAGAAGTGTTTTGTTCTGAAAGAGACACTGTCGTGGAAAAAGAGTTTCTAGCATATCGTATTTCAATACCTGCATAATTCCCACACTGAAAGAATAAAGCCAGGACCTTCTTTATATTAAAAGGGAAATGTTGCCTTTAGCTATTAGTTTTCCTGAATCCAAGGAGGTGGGTGGGGCAGGATCAAAAATACTTATTTGATCAAAGTTATTGACTCTGAAGGTATTCCAACCTATGTAAGAAAGATGAAAGGTGTTGTTTTTATTGCGCACTAGTAACAGTGTAATTTTGAACTAATTGGTGTTGAACTGCCAATCACCTACAGGGAATGCAAATAGATACTCCTACAATTTCCTTTGAGGTACTGAAATATTATGTTGGGCCTCGAAGAAAAACAAAATAATACTGTTAAATTGACCTTAAATGAGCTGCTTCGTGGTTTTCTTGGAGAATCCCTTCTAACTTTTCATGACTAGTCTGAACAAGTTCTGTCTACCAGTTTGATTTATTGACTAGACAATGCAGACATTAAACTTTTGTGCTTGTTTGAAATAAAGCTGAGAGCTTTGAATAGTTTGTGCCATCTTTCAGGGATCCGATTTGATTGCTCTAAAATGCTGCCTTGCTCTCTGGAAAAATATTGGGATTAGCACTGCCCTGTTATCATCTCAGGGGAAGTTGTAAGAACTGTCTTTTCTTTGTCAGTGTAAATATTAAAGATTTAATTTACTTCCCATTGACATTGGTGTGAAAATTGCTGAAGAAGAAACAGTGAATGTGGTAAGATACCTGTATTGAAGCTACACAAAACTGCCTTATACTGAATGAGTCAATTTCTTTATACCAAATGGTTAAGAGAGATTTATTCTATAAATTTGGAATCCAGTTCTTATTCTTGAAATGAAGATTGAGTAGTGGTTTTTGGGAAAATACATTGTGTGATTTTTCACAGGACTAAGGGTACAGTCCTATGCATTTTATACAGAAAAATGTCCTGTGACTCCTAGCATAACCCTGCTATATCTTAAAACTCCTAGCAACATGCGTATTAAGATTTCTCTAAGAAACAGTAATATTAAATTGGAAGGTTACATAAGGCCTTAAATATCTGTATTGGGAACATGAATTGCATCCAAATCAGACCATGCACATTAATTTAAAAAGTTGATGTTCCAACCCAGTAGGGAACAAGATACCAAAATGGAATACATTTAGTAAGAATTACAAGGAGTCATAATTGAATAGTTCTGATCATGACTATACAATTAAGAAAGATACCTTTTAATAATTTTAAAGAAAGACATCATGCAATTATTTTATTAGAAGGAATTTTTCAGCATAAGATTTTATTACAGGGAATTTTGCAAGTCTTGACTTAAGCAGGCAGAATAGTTAGGCCACATTTTTGCTCCTGTTTCCCTTGCACTAACAGATACACTATAGAATGACCTGGGTCATCATATAATAAACAATGATGCCTCTTTTTAAAGGAAGTAAACATTCACAACTTTCTATGGACTAAAAAGAAAATGGACTCAAACCCATTCATTTTAATGCTTAATGCATGGTTGTCTGCTTTGAAATGTTACATAGGCTTGAAGTAGTACAGTTGTGAGTCAGGCTTAATCTGTGGACTGGTAGTAAATTAATATTGTTTCATGATAAACCTAGTCATGGTATCGATTTTTCTGGAAAAAACAACACAGAGTCTCTCTGATAAAAGAACTTGTTTTCTTAAAGCATGTGTTGCTCCTTTGATTGTGTAAGCTGGGGAATGCTCGGAGTTGGAAGCATTTTTCCCCTCTAAACAAGTATAGGATTATGCCCTAAATAAGTGAGACAAATGGTGGTAACGCACAGGCATATAAAAGTATTTAGCGTGTTTAGAAAGGTTGTTCTGTTAGATAGAGCTATTACCTAGTTGTCTTCTGGCTTCTCCAATATCATCTAATACTGTTTTCTACTTTGTACCATGCTTGATTAGAAAAGGAAGAAGAAATCCCATTTGATTTTTTTCCCACTGACATCACAGGCATTTGTATGGAGCTACTGCAGGGGATGGTTCTTCTTGTGACTGGTTTGTAGCTTGCTTAGTGTTGTTATGCACCATCGAGTCATCTCCAACTTACAGCAACCTCATGAATGAAAACTCTTCCAAAATGTCTTATCTAAGCAGCCCTGCTCAGCTCTTGTAAATTCAGGGCTGTGGCTTCCTTTATGGAGCTTGAAATGGCTGTACATTAGTTGAGGATTGTTTTTGTATCCCTAATTAAATGAACGTGTCTTTGTTTTTGAACAGGGTTAACTTCTCCAGTGGAATATAACACAAAACAGTTGGAACAGGAACTGAATAATGTGAAGAACATGAAGACAAAATTGGGTAATTACATTACGTGTGATGTTTTGTATATTATATTCAGTATAAAATTGCTTTTTCTAGATGATTTAAGAACCATGCATCCATCTATATTATTCATATACCAAAACTATCTTGGTGTAAATAACAGGAAGTCTTGCTAACTTAAATTTGTGTACTGTATGTATAGTGTTTGAGCTGTTTTCTTTAGTGTTTTATTACTCATATCCCATCTGTTTGTGAGTGGCTGAATTGACACATTCACTATAGCAAAAGAAGAGCCTTGCCGAATCAGACCAGAAACTTATGTAGTCCAGGATCTTATTTCTTGTAGTAGTCCCTCACGTGCTGCTGGGAAGCACACAACAGAGCATGAAGGCACGCATATCCTCCTGCTTGTGTTCACCATGAACTAGTACACAGATGCCTCCATTGCTCCTCCAGTACTGGAGGTAATATAGAGCTATCATGACCATAATCTCTTTGGAAATCCATCCAGGTTGATGTCCATCGCCACATCTTGTGGTAGGGAACCTATAGTTTAACTAAGTGCTATGTGGAATAGCACTTCTTTTTGTCTTTCTTGAATCTTCCATCTTCCAACTTCATTTGATATCATAAGAGGCGACAGCTTCTTTTGCATTATGGAGTTCCATTAGTATTTATACTGAAGTCTTGGGTGGTTTAAGGTTTGTGAGTTGTTTGTCAAAGGTTTTTGCTTTGGCAAACAGAAACCAGGACTAGGTTTTGAAATATAAAATAAATTTTCCAAATACAGTTTACAGCCTGGAATGCTACTTTTTAATGTGCTGACTCTACATTTTTATACGACTGCTTCTATATGAGAACTAATTGACCTAAGATAAAGTGACCTAAAGCAGACAAGCAGAAGCGACATGTGCTCTAGCAATTGTTAAAATGAGTGTCATTTCAGATTTTAAGTGGAGGACCAAATCTCCACATGAAGTATTTGCATATAAAAGCAGCTTCTGGGGGGAACATTCTGGAGAAATGAGTAGTAGGGTCAGATGCCTCCAAAATGATCCCATCCAAGCCCTCACCTGTCATTGTTTTGGAATAATTTAATGGCTGGGGTTTGCATGTGCAGGTTACTTCCTCACAAGGAAAGATGATTGATCTGTGAGCCTCTCTGGAAACTACAAGTGTACTAAGAAGTTGCCCGTGAGTTTCCAATTCGATCCAGTATTCTTGAGATTGCTTTTAGTTGCAATTTATGTTGGGGAATTTCTAATGTTTAAAACAAAATGAGATAATGTTTATCTCAGGCCACCTTAAGATTGAAGGCTTACTTGTTTTCCTCTTAAAGAACGCCGGAAAAAGGCTTCTGCATGGGAGCGGAATCTTGTGTATCCAGCTGTAATGATACTACTACTAATTGAAACAGTAAGTTCAATTACCTCTGCTTCCTTCTGCGTAATGCTCACCTGTCCTTTTGAGGCTAGTGATATTTTTCATGTACATGTGTGAGCTGAGTATCAGAACTATAAGAAAAGGCTTTCCTTGCCCTTCTCCATTCAGAGATAACGTTTTAGTTACACTTATGAATGTTACTTACTGCTTTATTTATTGTCTTAATTATTGTAATTATTATTGTTTTTACTGTTACTGTTACTATTAATTATTGTAATTGTTATTGTTTTAATTACTGTAAGACATTTTTTGTATAGGACAGGGTAAAAATATTTATTTATAATTTATTTATAAATTAAATATAAATATGTATGAATAAATATACATTTATTTATAAATAAATAGATAAAACCCAATGTTGTGAACTTAGCCTTTAACTAAAGACTCTGCTTTTTGCTTCCTTTGTAGGCAATCTCTGTTCTCCTAGTTGCTTGCAATATTCTTCGCCTGTTGGTTGATGAAACTGCAATGCCGAAAGGGTCTCGGGTAAAGTATTTTGTGTGTGTGATTTTAAGTGAAGCACAATCCAGTAAATGTATTCTCAGGAGTAAGTCTAATTATGTTCAGTTGAGCTTACTTCTAGGACAATGGGTGCAGAATTGGAGCTTGAGAGGTCAATCCTTAAAGGAAAAAAATCTATCCGTGATAGGTCTTCCACATTTTAACATAATATCTATTCTCAGGAGTGCTTCACACATGCATTGGAGCATGCAACATGTCTTAGAATAACAGGGAATCTCTAAAAAATGGTCTTGAAGCAGCAACATGTGTGCACAAGTCAACAATGCACACAGCTATTTCTTTGTTAGAAGTTACCATTTCACCCACTGCTGAAAGGATGCTGTTCAAAGGGGCTTCTCTCTTTAGCAGCAGGGACCACATCCGTGGCAAGTTTAAACGAAGCTCCAGTGGTGCATCTGGCTCACCCTTCTGCTCCTGCCACTTCATTAGATTGTGACTGTTGAACCTTTTCTGTTTCTTAGTTGAACGGCTTAGGTGCATTCGTTGTAGTAATCCCACTGCTTTTAACATGAAACAAGCTATCTCTAATATGCTCTGGATTCTTCCTGCAACTATGTTTATTGCCATGTAGATGAGATAAGAATTATATTTTTTGAAAGTCTGCCTCATATTGTGTGCAATTTTTAATGCTTAGAGATTTGTTTAGCATAAACATTATTATTAGAGTAAGCTTATTCATAATGCTTGTTTTTAATGCTTCTGCTCAAGGCTCTCAGCATTCTTGTAGGCCAAAAAGAATAGCTCTCTCTGTGTAACTTTAAAAAAAATTCTTTCAGGGGCCTGGCATAGGAAATGCCTCTCTATCCACATTTGGTTTCGTGGGAGCAGCACTTGAGATCATTTTGATTTTGTATCCTTTCTTTCAGTAGACGTTCCTGTCTGTTAACAAGTATTCTTTCTAATTTTCTGGGACGCTGCTAATTTACTAAGATGCTTGCCTAGAAGAGAGAAAATGACAGGTCAGCCATTCCCATGCACTCAAAAGTGGTTGTTGTTTCTCTCTCCCTCGCCACCCCCGCCACACACTTCGTGGTGCTTAAGACTTCTAGGAGTCTGAAATTTGTATTCTTTAGGGGTTCTTTTTTTCCTTGATTCTCACAGCTATCTTATGGTCTCCTCTGTCGTCGGCTTCTATAGCTTACGCTTTTTTGGAAATTTCACTCCCAGGAAGGATGACACAACCATGACAAAGGTAGGTAAAAAGTCTGAGATGGTTATTCCTTCCTTCCTTGTCAGTTTCTGTCATCCAAGACAGACTTTTCTCCCTTGGTAATTATCCTCTATGGCAGTGATTAGTATTTGTAGCTTGGGTAAACAAACTGGAAGATTTTCAGATTGCTGAATGGTGTACCCAGTTTAGTTTGGATGGCATCCATACACTTGGGAAAAGCCTGGAATTGCAAAGCTTATTAGCTAGCCATAGAAAATCTGGTAGAGAGCCCCCCTTCCCCCTCCTGCAAAAGGGAAATGTATTGCTAATGAGTAACTTTGACTGTGCAAATTGTACTTTTAAGGGCATGTTTGAAATGTGAAGAATTTGGTTGCTCTAAGTAATGCAAGCAAATTCATTCAATTTGAATAGCTAAATAGGAACTAGTTCTATTCAGCAACACTTTTCATTCTGTGGCTACTCTGACTTTCCAATACTTAAGGTGGCTTTAGAACAATTAGACTGAGACACATGTTAAAAAGATAAGCTCATATACCGAGCAAAATTATTATGCAGCCAGAAGGGATTCTGTTTAACTTCCACTTTTTTGAGATTTCCCTCTTTCTTTCTTTTTTAAAAAGGTCTTTATTGTATTCCAATAAGTGGTTGACAAGTAGGGAGTGGAATTTGCTTTCATCTTGCCAGGAATTCTTGGAAGTAGGAAAGTAAACAGCATAGAAGATCCTTGATTAAAACTGTTGAGTAGTCCCATTATGTTTGCTCAACCCTTTCATGTATAGTATTTTGGGAGGGAAAATGTAAACTAATGACATGCACTTAGAATTTTGCAAATTATTTATGTTTAGACTCCTTTGCATTGAAACCCTCAACATTGTTTTCCTTTATGCTAGAATTGTGTTATAGTGTTGTTTATTAATGTGAGCTATTTATGTCTCACTTTTCAGTATCAAAATATTTTAAAGGTGGTTTAGGACATAAAAATACCTTCCAAAAAACAAGAGCTGTTGGTAGTAGAAGACTGAGGTGTGGAGAAGGGGCAGTGCAGCTGCAGCCAGTCTTTGCCTACCTTCCTTTCTATCTTCATGTTAACCTTCAGTGTAGTGTATATCTTGCACAAAAGCATATTTATACCTGGATATTCTGGTGTGTGTTTACTGTTAGAATTTAATAGTGACTTGTACTGGTTTATTTACATTGCTTTTTCTATTTTGAAATTATATACAAATATTGATTTTTTTGAAGCCACTGTGAGATGAATGTGCAACAGCTAATCTTTGCCTGAAGTTTTTGATAAGGGCAGCAGTGTATTCGTACCTTTGCAAAACCAAAGAAAGAAATGAGGTCTTAAGGTTCAGACTGCATCTATTATGTATAAAGCATAACATTGCACATTTAAGTCATCCATCATTGGTTTATCAGTCCTGAATATATGAATGCTTCTAGGTGTGGCTTCTAGGAATGTCCTTCTGTATTATATTTATTGAATTGTGACCCAGCAGGAAGGACTGTGTTATCTTTTAATCTTTGTACAGTGCTTAGAACATTTTTGCTACTCAGGAAGATTGGATGCTCAACTTGCGTATTTTGGAAGGAACTTAGTTGATTCAAACCTACCAGACTACAGATTAGTTCACAGCTCTGTGTCCATTTTCACCACACATTTTGATACCTAGAGCTTTATGAGGTAGTCTGAAGGTTACTTTAAAAAATGTTTTCCTATTGCTTACTTGCAGCGAGCAGCTTGAAAGAACAGTGCCTGGGTTACCACTGCTTTGAAAATTGTCCAGGAAGCAGCTGTGCATTATCATGTGGTGCTCCTTCCCGGGTAACTGTATCCATGTACCAATGGGAGCAGCCATCCTTTTTTCTCTACAGTTACTGGGGAGCAACAGCATGTGAAGCCATTTGATTCCTAGAGCAAATTCTCAAGCATTTTTAAGCCACACAGCAGGCACTAAACTTTCTAACTATTTGAGGCAGTTAAAAAAAAAGAGTGAGAGAGAGAGAGAAGGAAAAAGAAAACTGTTTTTAAACTTCTCCTTAAGTACTTTTAAAAATACACAATTTTAAATTTAGATTTTACCTCAATTGTGCAAATTTTATTTATTTCTAAAATGAGGATCAGATGGCAAACAAAAACCAGCTGAAGTTCATTCTGTCTATTCCTATTTATACCATCCTGAGACCCAGGTAAAGGACAGGATAGAAATGCTTTTAATAAAATCAATCAATAAATAAAACATGCTTGATATTTTGGTAACCATCCTACTCTGCTATGTAAGAAGAGAACCATTACTGGTTTTGGTATCTATCTTGTGCTCTGGAATTTAGATTCCCTTGCATTAAGAAACAACATGTCATAATTAATGGGTCATAATATATTGGTCATTCTGAATGCTGGATGGATGGAAACTGTATAGGCCTGATGCATGTACAGTTGGATTTGGTACCATAACCAATACTGTGTTATGTTTAAAAATATGGTGACTAAAACTAGTGCTGAGCATGCTTTCTTTAGGCTTATGTAATATACAATATGCCAACTTTCAAAGTCACTGTGGTCTGTTAAGAATTTTCAGGGCAGACTAAATTGTCTGGTTTACAGTACTAGAAGGAATGCAGCAGCAAGGACCCTTGCAGTGGGCAGGCTATAGAATCAGTTTAAGCTCTTTACTTTACTTTACTTTACTTTACTTTACTTTACTTTACTTTACTTTACTTTAAAGTTCTCTGTTCTTCACTTAGTAAACTTAGCAGTTGCTATTTAAGCTCATCAGTCTCGTTGTATTTCATTGAAATTGTCATTTCCCCAACAGATAATCGGGAACTGTGTTTCACTCTTAGTCCTCAGTTCAGCTTTGCCAGTTATGTCGAGGACACTGGGTAAGTTTTATCTGGAAGATCTCCATTGCATTGCTTTCCATTTGATGTCCTATCTATGGAACAGTAGATTGATTCAGTCATTATTTTTAAGGAAAAAAAATCTGTACTGCATGAGTGTCTTAATGAAATAGGTGTGTGTATGCGACAAGTCGGAGCTCTTAAACCAATGAAGACCCTGGTGATTCACCACTGGGCTTTCATACATATGGGCAACAATGCCTGGGTCCCTGCTTTTGGTCTTGGTCAGTCATGGGAATTTGGGAGAAATACTCTGGGAAAAATCCATAGATGCTCACTTGGTAGTACTCTCCTGCCTTCCATAGTAGTTTTACTTGAGCAAGAAAGAAAACTAGGTAGTGAGAATTCTACATTGGACAAAACTGGAGATTTCCCTTTCATGATCTAGCTCATCCCATCAACCTATACTTGAAGTATGCATTACTGTATGCTTGCTTATACTGAACTGCATTTGCCATTTTGCTGCTCATTCTCCCAGCTTGGAGAGATTGCTTTGAAGCTCCTCAGAATCCTTTGGTTTTAACCACCCTAAAAAGTTCAGTGTCATCAGCAAACTTGGTCACTTCGGTGCTTACACTTACTTCCACAGTACTTGGATCTGCCATGAATTGGATTCAACAGTTGGAGTTAAGTCTTTTAAGGGAGATGTCTGGTGTTCCAGCTTAACTGATCTTGTTGGATATATTTCAATTATTGCAGCCTGAGGGTGTGGACAGGGTGCTTGGACAAGTTTGTCCCACCACCGGTATGCTCAACGCCTGCCCTTCCTGGTTGATCCTGGGTCCAGGAGGTCATCAGCGCCTCTCTGAAGGAGGGACTGGTTCCCTCTCCTTTGAAGGAGGTGGTGATCAGGTCTCTCCTGAAGAAGGTGACCTGGGCCCAGAGGATGTCGCCAAGTATAGACCAGTGACTAGCATCCCTTTTTGGGGGCAAGGTGGTCAAGAGCACCTTGATGGATGAAGAGCACAAGTGATGGCTGGGCAACTTCAGGCTCTCTTGGAGGAAACTGACCATCTAGATCCATTTCAGTTTGGGTTCAGGGCTGGTTATGGGAGAGAAACTGCCTTGGTCATCCTGTGGGATGACCTTTGCTGGGAGAGTGACGGGAAGTGTGCCCCCTGTTGGTTCACCTGGACCTCTCAGCAGCTTTTGATACCATCAACCATGGTATCCTTCTGGATAGGCTGGCCGGGTTGGGGGTTGGAGGCACTGGCACTAAGGAATTTTTAATTGTGGTATTGTTGATGATAGTTTTAATTTTTGGCCATGACAGGCTGCAGCTGGCTGTAGGTACTCTGTGCCACAAAGGATGTTTGAACTTCTGGTCCTACTTGGATTAATTACTCTTCCCATACTACAAATCAGATTCTGTAAATGAAGTCAGCCATGTCTAGAACAGGCTGAAACTCACTTGCCTGGGCAGACAAGCAACCTACACTGCTTTCACTTTATCAACTGTTATCCAATCTGTCATTCACCTCGGATACTGACTCAAACTTTGACTGCTTCCTATCGGTTAGGTGGAAAAGGAGGAGACACTTGGTGCCTTGGTCAGACCCTCAGATGGCTTTACTTAGTGGTTTCATGTCAATGCTGAGAAGCATGGGAGACAAGATAGAAACTTGTGGGACCTTATGTGCTAATGTCGAAGAACTGAGCATTAGTCTCCAGAGCTCACAGGATCATAGCCTTCTGCCCTTCCTAGATGCTGGGACAACCAAGGCATTTCAGTGCTAAACCCAGATGGAAAGGGATATAGCTTATCTTGTCCAGGAGTGCAGCTTGAAAGCCAGCTTAGTGCAGTGGCTAATTCTGGATTTTGATGATCCAGGTTCAGGCTCCTCCTTAGCCATGGATTGAATTAGATGGCCTTGGTGAAAAACTACTTTCTTTTAGCTGGAATAAAGAAATTGTTATAGTGCATAGCCTTTTCATTGTGATGCTTGAAATGAAGCCGCAAGTAGTATGTTGTGGGTGCTGTTGTGCATTCTGGGAACTACAAATTGCTTAGGATTCACTTGCAAGGCCTGCTGGGGTTGTGCACTGGGTCATATTTGTCTGTGCTTGATGGGGTTTCTGAAATTAGATCAATGTGCTAGTGCTAAAGCTTGTTACAGGCTTCAGGCTACCCCCCCCCCCTTCCCGGCCATATTCTGAAGATAGTTGGGGCTTCTCCCCAGGTTCCCTGGCCTTCTGACACATAGTGGGTTTTGACTGAAGACAAAGACTTTGCACCCCCCCCCCCAGTCTTTCAAAGAAACTTCCCTGGTGCACATTTTTAGAGGTTTTTTAAAAAGCTTTCTGAGATTTTCTAGACCTTTAAAGATGTGTGGGGTACAAATGTAATGAATTAATAAATCTATTGAAATGTAAAAGCATTTGCTTTAATGACTTGAAGCTGCTGCTGAACACATTCAGATCTTTCTTAGTTAATACAGAAAATAAGGGGAAAATAGTACTTAGAAAGTGCTACTTTAGGCACTTCTAAAGGCTTTTGTGCACAGCCAGTAGACATTTTTAACTTGCTTTCCTTTAATGAGAAGATTGCTGTACCATTTTACAACATACTGGCATGAAGCTGAATTATGGGTTGAAAACACAGGAAAAATAGTAAAGATGACTCTAGTGTACATATTTGGTTCAGTTATTGTTTCACAGGAAACACATTAATGGCAAGACCTTCTAGTTTCGCCGCTGAAACCCACAATGAAATTCCTATATCGTTTACCATAGAGATAAAGGGAGGAATAAAACAGAATGATGAACAGTTAAAAACACAGCTAACAAATAGACACAGCTGTCCAAACAGGATTAATAGAGTATCTTAGGGTACAGTGAGTCATGTTGTGCTTAGCAAAATATCAACATGTGCCACGTTAGCTGTTATGCCCAGTGGCACTCGATAGATGAAAAGAGAAAAACAGATTCATGGATGCTTTTCATAGTATTATAAAGCAAGTTTCTGGATGATGAAAGGAGCAAGGCTGTTTCTGTGATGGGAAAGGCAAATGGGGAAATTAATTCAGCTGTTTAAAAACAGCTCTTAATTGTTTACGTGAATGCAAAATGGTGCATTGCAAGCATTGCAGCGTTGGGTCCGTGGTTGATGGCCTTGTGTTCCTTTTCGAAATGGCTTGGAAGACATTGTGCTGGGTAGGTTTTCTGAGCATCTTTTCAGATCATTTCTTTATGCTTTTGCTTGGCATGGAAGGTTGCATCGATGGGCTTTGCTGGTCCCACCAAGGAGTCCCATTCCCGGGTCCCAAACAAGGGGTCCCATTGCTCTAACAAATCTTTCCCCTCCCATTCCAGGGGGCATATCTTAAAGCTTAAAATACTGATGCAAAGGTAAAACGTAAACCAGGTCATGAAGGGAAATTGAGCCACAGTAGCTTATATTTTCTCATCAGATGTGCCAGTCATGAGCTGCCTAATTGGCATAATTACCCTTGATGGGCATAGGTTGTCATGACATCTGAACTCAAGGAGAATGTGTGGCAGGGATGGTTAACAAATCATCCTGGAACCCTAGAACAAGCCATGAATTTCAAAATGTTTTGTAAAGTACCCCAGCAACCCCCCCCTCTCCTGGTTTGGATGCATGATGGCCCGGACTCATAACCAGCATGAGCCGTATATTCCTCCAGAGAATGTGCACATCGGTCTGTAGATCCTTAAACCCCAAGTAGTGTCTTGCCTAAAATTCTATATGGCATTTTAAACAACAAATCCACGGAGTTTCAAAATAAGGATCAGCGGTTTAGGTTATGTAAAGAATTATCTACAAAGTAGTAGAAGACTTTTTTTTTTGCACAGTTAAACAAATACCAACCTCAGAGAAATCAGGCATTTTTCTGAATGTCCCTCTTGTCTTCTCTCTGTCAGGCATTACCAGGTTTGATCTCTTGGGAGACTTTGGAAGGTTTAACTGGTTAGGAAACTTCTACATTGTGCTGTCCTACAATCTGCTTTTTGCCATAATGACAACCTTGTGTCTGGTTAGAAAGTTCACTTCTGCAGTTAGAGAAGAACTCCTCAAAGCACTAGGTAATGTATACTTTTCCTTTTGTGATATTCATGTTTTACATGATTTAAATTGTAAAACATGTAATTGTACTAGGCAGAATAATTTAACTAGCGTATCTTTTCCTTTTTCACCTGTGAAATTTGAGTCCTTTTTGATTTAAAGAAAATTATTTATTACATTCTCATCAAATGGTCAAGACAGATAGTAAAATAAACCAGCAAAATAAACATGCAAATAAGACAATTGAAACACACCAATAAAATGAATAAATGTAACAACCATTAAACCAGTTGCAGCACATCTAGTCCAGCATTCTGTTCAGACTGGTCAAGGAGCTGCCCATGAAAAACCCACAAGCAAGTCAGGAGTGCAACGGTAGTCTCCTGCCCATCTTCCCCAGCGACTGGCGTCCATAGCCATACTTCATGAATTTGTCCAATCCTTCTTTAAAATCGTCCAAATTGCTGGGCATCATTACATTCTGTGGAACCAGATTCCATCATTTAACTATGCACTCTGTGAAGAAATACTTCCTATAATGAGTCAGTTTATAAAGCCTGCCTGAATGGCAGTGTCTGCTGCTGGATGGTCATCAGCACTGGGGCTAGACAAGCCTTGTTAGCTAAGGCCTTGCAGGGTCTGGGAGCAACCACCAAGAAGAAATTCTCTCAAGTTCCCACCAAACTCGCTTCACATTTTGGTTGGACACAGGTATCCTCTCAGAGGGTTTGGAAACTTGGGCTAGATTGCATGGGAGCGATGACTGACAGACCTTACCTAGTATCGTGAGGCCCTGCTTTCCTTACCGCCAGCACACAGTGATGTAGGGCAGAAATTAGAAACATTATGCTGTTGTAATGTGAAGTACGCTCAACTAGGCTGTAGTAGTGGAGTAGCTGGATGCAGAAGTCCTGTTTTGATGACCACAGCACCTTAGTAATCATGTCCAGTTTGGTTTTAACCTTCTCAAATAAAGGGCCTTCACAGGTTAAAAAAAATCATTTATGTATTTGAGCAATGCTTACAGTGGTCTTTAAAACAGCCATGCCAACCAGAAATGAAACAAACGGTACAGTAACTTTCTGTGTTCTGCAGGTTTAGATAAGCTTCACCTCTCACACAACGCAAGAGACTCAGAGACGGCAAAGCCATCTGTAAATGGACATCAGAAAACACTGTGAAAAGTTGTTGGTGAATTGTGCCCTTCAACTTCATGGCATTCCTGTCACCTCATCGTACTTGTTTTTGTATGCTTTTCCTTGTTTGTATATTGGGTCCAAATTGATAACTCTGCACTTCAGACTGTTCTCTTTTGGATTGGTCCATGTGAATTATTTTGTCAGCCGTTCCTAAGATAAATATTGGAACTTGAAAGCTGAAAAGAACACTGGATTCCTCTTTGAGTAGACCATCCCATTGATCTTTCGGTATGCAAGGTGAAGAATCTCCTGTGCATAAATACATTCTGAAAAGATGTGCCTGGGTATTTGAGATGAGCCCTGCTAGCTGGAAATGGCAATCCCACCACTGGAGGATTCCATTATGAAAACTGACAACTTTCATAAGCGTGAAGTTTAGAAACAGTACATTGGTATACCTACCCTACCGGTTTGCACCATGGTTGTATCTAAGATACCGCCAGTTCTTAGTTCTAGATGATAAACTGCCCTGCAAGTATTGCTCAGCACAACTTCCATCACGACTCATGAATTACAGATAGCTTAATCTCACATTGCAGTGCTAAACATGAGCTTGGAAAATTGAAAGACTTCTGACCATTGCGTACATAGCCATGCATAATATGGGTTGCGTTAACAATGCAGCAGTCACCCACTTTACTAAATAATGTGCACAGAAAATTCTGTTGATCCTGTTCTGTATGACATATCATCCACATGCATAATAACGAGAAAAGGAGGTAGTTGATCATAACTTTACAGGTGTGACTTTGAAATGACTGCCCACACCTGGGCACAGGGCATTTTGGATCATTGAAGTAAACCACTTTTTCATTCTTTATTTGTTCATTATATATAAAGCTGTGTCTTTTTTGTTCATTTGAAAACAAGCAGTTGGCTAGCAGATTACCCTGTCAGGTTTTTTTCAGAATGAAAATTTAGATCCCCACTCCACACCCCAGGGATTTAGGTATAATATTGTTAGCAGAGCATGCAACTTTCTGTGATTTTGCCACACTTTTGAAGTTTATAAATTCAGTGTGAGATATAAAGCTGAAGGAAATCAAAATTGAGTTTGTTAGTTAACATACTGTGAGTAGGTTGCAAACACCAGTGTGGCTCGTCACTGTGTAACTTTGGATGCAGTGCCACTGGTTACTGCATTAGTGAGTATATAGGTTTGCTCAAATAAGATTAACTGAAACTTTGTAATGTCAAGCATTTCACCTCAAATGGAAAACATCAGTATTATGTTAATCTTGGTAAATCCAAGGCCTCTAATTTAAACTAGGTTTTGATATCCACATAGCCTAGTGTGTTATCCTGCTTTTTAAGAAAGAGCAAAATGTTGCTATTTTCATTATGATTCAAAGCACATTCCCCATGTTTGATTTCTGTGTGGATTTCTCAGATATCAGAAATGTTGCATTCAGGGTTTACATAAATTCACACAAAATTAATTTTGCTTCAGAAATTTGGAAGGCAAAGTTTTTAGTAAATAGATGATAGCAGTTTTACTAATGTAAGTGATGTATGACAAAACATGCTACATGGGATAGATTCTAGTTATTGGAATAAATTGTAACTGACTGTTTGCCACTGTGGAAGTTATAGGCATAGTCAACTCTGTCTTCAAACATGGAAACCTATATTTCAGTTGGAAAAGGCTGTAACCTTGAGATGGATTTGGATGTCTTTTATATGGGTGAAATTGGTTAACTATACTTTTAAGCAAATTAATTGTTATATCCCACAGTATCAGCATGTTTTTAACTGATCTGGCACCTTGACTCAATACCAGTAATGTGCCAACAGAAAATGTATATCCTTGGTTAAAGTGAACTGAGACAACCAGTGGTCTGCTTCACACAACCAATCCAGTCACATGGCTTGAACAATCCAAGCCATGGTGGAAACCAGGGGACATTTCAGCCCTCAACTGGGGGTTGCCATGTCATCTGAACCTGGCCTCTGTGGGTTATGTGAGGCTTAAATAACTCTTGCAATAAGTCACAATGGTTAGGATTCAGCGATGTGACAATTCCTGGTCAGAGACTGAATGGGCAAATTACTGTCTGGCTTGTGCTGAAGCTTAAACAGCCCTTTCTTGGCTAGTTCGATTGTGCAAACCACCTGTTGATCAAGTTTGGACACACTGCAATGAGTTCTGGTACCCACAAATGCCACGTTGCATATGCAAACCACTTCTGTTATATTGCACAACGCTGGCTCACCTTTTTCTAACCCTAAAACAGGTCATGAGTTATGCCTAGGGTTGTTTAACTTGAGCTTCACCTGCACTTGTCAGGTTTTTATGGCATGATAGCCCCTCAGCAGGGTTGCATAATCAAAATGGCAGCCACATAAGCCACAACCTTAGTGTGGAACAAACAACCAATGTTTGGTTGTAAGGTCATGTGAACAGGCCTATTCTTGGATCCAAGTAAAGCCAAATTGTTCAAAGGAATTTGACACTATGGCTAACCATACTGCATTCAAGAAGACTGAGACATTTGTTTCCTCTTGAATTCATTGCCATGATGACTGCAAAAATGTGGGGAAAGAATGGTTGAAGCCATCCAAATTTATCCCATGTTGCAAGTTGACTTTACAAAAAATTGCAATACCACATCAAGAACCATCAATACAGATTTGGAGGCTGCAAGAGGGATGTTTGTTATGGACTGATTAAATGATCCCATTTAGTTAAGGGGGAGCTATGCAGGTGAGGAGATGCTTTCCTTGGATTGATTTGCAGTAAGGGTACATGATAGGATGGCTGAATCCACAGTGTGCTAAGTCATAATGGCTTGTTGTGTTGTCTGAACCGTCAGAGTACGACATTTCCATGGCTTCTCATGAGTGGATCCAACCACAGAGAGGTTGCCCACTACCTCCCACTATTGAAGATTTTGCCTAGATGGTAGTATTTCTGGGATCAGGAGTACTCTGCAGACTGTGTTGACATCCCTTTAGATAAAAACTGGGAAATATTATTTTTGGTCCTAGCCAGCTAAGGAGATAGGCGGTACCTGTCTTGATCCTATACATCTTGTATGCGTATAGTGCCAGGGCAACTGACTATTTCCTGCTGGTACAAATAAATACAATCTCACTCGAGAGAGTATATTAAACCTAAGGTATTGCACTCCCTCCCAAAATATGCACACATGCATGGAAATGAATATGAGCCTGGGTGAGGGGAGGCATGTGGTTTAATACCTGTGTCCTCCAACTAGAAATAGCATATGACTGTTTCCTTCCTTTGCCTTATCCATGGAAAAGTTATTTCACTTCTCAGTGTAAACTATTTTACACATTAAGTTTGCTTTCACATATGTTAAACCCTTATTCATAAATCATTAAAAATGTTATAAGTTTAAATGTGCTTTAAATAGTAGTAATTCAATTCATTGATGGATATTGGCAACACATTTCTAGTCATTTGACTCATGAAGAGTCAAGTGTCCTGTACCTTTCAAAGGTAGAAATAGCTCTTCTTTGGACATCAACCATGCGCCTCATTTATTCAGAGGCTTAAGCACAAACATGCTTGTCTTGTGTAAATTAACTATGTTACAAATCAGACCAAAACTGTATGTCAGTTAAGTCTCTCAAGTGAGCCATTGAGTGGCTTTGTTTTCCATTGGTTGATAGCACAGCATGTTAACACACCTCAGTAGATTTGTTGTGCAAAGTCTGAGCACACTTTTGCTATTCAAGGTTTTGAACGAAATGCAAGTAAACAGAGGGTTAATTCAGAAGTAGGTTTCACTTAGGACAATTTTACAGATTGTAATGTTTATCTTCACCCCTCTTTCTCCAGTATCTTTTGCACAGTTGCCTGTTTTAATTAAAGAATTGACAAGATGTTCTTGTAAAACTTGTTTCGGAGGTGTCTCATTCAGGTCAGACTTTGTGATAGTGAACATTGCTATTACGGTGAGAGTATAAATCTCTTATGTACACTCCAGCTACTTTGGAATTACATTTGACATCATGGTACAGCATGTCCCATGTGCCTGCACTTATGCAGGATTTTTCTTTGCCCAGGGAGCCTCAGACATTTCTTTGGAAGAAATGGGGAGTGTAGCCTTTTGCAGGGATGAAAAAATTTATAGCCACTAGACATTTTGGGGTTAGGTGTGTTCCCCACAGAATCTCTAAGAGACAACCCTGAAAGATGAAATGGTAGCAGAAGAAGACACATATCCTTTTAATATCTTGTGAGGGCAAGAAAGTTCTGGAGTCAGACTAAAACGATTTTTGCCTCATTTGCTTGGACAAGGGTCAATATTGTAAAATCTTTCAAATACTGTCAGAAATTTAAAAGGCATCTGAGTTTCAGGCATGGCACCCCGAAATTTTTGACAAGATGTCCTCAATAACTTTTTGATATCCTGTTCTTGCTACTTGGTTAAGTGACCTTGTTCTTCCATTTATGAGATGGCACAAAATCCATAATAATTTATTTACCTGGGCTGAGATAGATCCTCTATTCCATTGTCACAACAGGAGACTGTCCCAAGGGGTGATTCCTTACGTCAGGGATCCTCAAACTTTTTTAACGGGGCCAGTTGAAAGGTGCCGGTGATGGGCGTGGGCCGCCAAGGGGGTGCAGATGGGGCAGGGGGGCGTGCGCAGGCGGTGATTGTTTTCTCCGAGCGAGTCCAAAAGGATCTATGCACGAGCAAGCCACTGCCTCGCCACATGCGCATGCAGGCGACAAGTCCAAAACTCTATGGCAGGCCAGATAAATGGGCACGGTGGGCCGGATCTTGAGGACCCATGCCTTGCGTTATTGGCGGCATAACGTGTCATGTCTCCTGGTTATCAGAGGAAACTGGGATGGATGGTGCTGACCCCACCTCTTCGTGCAAGGAATGGGACAGTGTTGGTGCGGGGCAATTGCACTTGACTCTTCCAGACCTCTTCAAATGGCCCTCTGGTCTGCACAGGTCGTTTTCTGTCAGCTGTGGGACTACAGAATAGCCACTTGAAGAGCAGCAGTTTTGGATCTGTTGATTTTTAAGCGGCTGTTTGTATTCAGGCATTTCATTAGGTTCACAAACCTTTTGCATAGCACTCTGGGTCCCAAATTGATGCCTCTATCCTTCACTTCTTGCAGTTCCATAATCACTGGCTGGGTGACACCTATGGGACTTGTGCAAGTATTCAGCTGGTGTGTGAAATGGAGATGCAAGTCTAATACAATCACATAATGGTTTGAATGTGGTGAACTGCTGAGACAGGCAGTAGAGTTTGGGTTGCTGGGAGCTTAAAAGAGAATGAAATGATCCCTTGGAATGCTTAAGAACTTGAGGATCTCAGACTTTTCTGCAAGTTCCCACATTCACTCCTTGGCAAGAAAGGAAATCTCTTTACTAATGGAAACTCCATTGGTGGGACAGAAATCTTGGAGACCGTGGCCCGCCTGTTGTTCATGCTGTACTTGCATCCTGTCCTCTGGGTCTTAGATTTAATAATAAAATAGATGAAAGAAGGGAGGAATCATTGTTTACTTATTCTATCTAAGATCTGGTATAATTTTTCCCACACTCCTTGCAAAGACAGGGACAGATTTGAGATAACTGCCCAAGAGCCATTACCTGGGGCAAGGAGTAAGTTGCGCTAAAAATGGTTGTCTGTTTTCTTTCTGGCAACATGATGCCACAGCCCATATTCTGTGTCTCATGGTCACAGCAATACATCCAATTAGGTATTGCCTGAGGCCAGTCACCAGTACTTCCCAGGTCTACACATGCATGCCTCCACAGAGGCTAATCAACTAGCATGCATGGCAACCCTTCTGAAATGCAAAAAGAAAAAGGGAAAAAACCCTGTACACTTTGAAATGCATTACGCCTTCTGGTATGTATTACTATTCTGTAAAACAAGTATATTGGTGTGTGGGAGTAAACTGCTAGTCAAGAATTTTCTTTTGATAACAGGAACGACATAAAGGACATACAGGTCTTTCTCCCAAGGAAAACTCTTCGAATGCTTGAAGACAGGTAGTATGAAACATGTGAGAACAGGACAGCAAAACAGTCTGATGGGAGCAGGGCTGCCGGCCATCTTGGGAAAGTCCATCCTGAGAATCAGTCGAGTAGACAAGTGGCATGATGCAAATCGGGCAGTCAACTATGTCTTGCCGAAATGCCTGAAACAAAAAATAGCATCAAGTCCAGACAACAGTGGGAGAGGAACCTTCATTCTTGACACAGAGAAGCGCATTGTAAAAGAGATGCAACATGTGCATTGTGAATCTGAGAGAGGAGTCAAAATTGGACTTTGAAAGAACTATACTAATATGTGCAACTTCTGCAGTCCAGAAGCTTGTAAACTGCCCTGTCTAGTCTACTCAATCTCATTTCAAATGTTTAATTTCTAGAACATGATGCAAATCCACATTTAAAATGTGGGGATTTTTTCTGGTGGATCATATAGTTGGATTCATGAAGCAGATGAGATAAATACATTTTATTCTGGCCAGAGGTGTAGAGCTCTGAAGTTGGCTATGGGACTAAAGGCAAGAGCTGACCGTTCTATCTGATCAGGAGACTCTGTGATAGCATTGCCTGTAACTGCTGCAAATGGAAAAACTGTTGCACTTGGGTTAGCAAAAGCATTAATCCAACTCCCATGCTGGGAATTGTAGGCTTTTTTCTGTCTAAATGTGCATAGGATCGATCCCAAAGCCCAGGAAAATGACCCTGCATGTTCACCCTTGCAGGAGGTAGGCTCGTCCCACCTCACGGCTTTATTGCGAGGACAAAATGTGAATCCTTATTGACTACTATGAACTAATAGAGACAGATACAAATCTAAGTCATTAACACAAAGAAGGCTGGTACGCCTCAGTTGTAGGGGGTTATTCACATTTGGTTGAGCCAAGATTTCTTTCTCCAAAACCAACCTGCATTTGTATCTTTTCCCACTCTACTTCACCCATCAGTGGACCCAATTTCTTGTCTAGTTGCTGAAACACATCTTGACTCGCAGCTACAGAAGAATCAATTTCAAAGAAGAATTCATCTAAGCAGGTATCATATGAATTTAATAATCTTTGACAGATATCTGTAAACTGAAAGGTGAAACAAAATATGTGACTGGTTAGTGAACTGGAATGGGCAACAACACGACAGGTCCATGCAGCATCAATGCAAGAGTTGCTTCCTTTACAGAAAGTTTAGATGCATCCTTAATGGCTCAAATACTGGGTCACTCACACAGCCTAACAAGAATCTAACTGCTTCCTATCTTCAGTACTGCTAATGTGTCTTGAAGGAAAATACTTCCCTGATCCCAGTTAACTGTCAGTGGAAAATAAAAGCCAAAACTCTGGTCCACCAATCAAGTGTTGTCTTTGTACCAAACCTAGGGGCAACAATTTTGTTTCTGGCCATAGTCATTGCCAGCATTTCAGTGTCCATGACTTTCAAAATGTCTGCAGCACCAGAAACTTCACAGAGCTATTAAACAGGAAACATAAATAGGCCAGGATGCTTCAGGTCAGGATTCCAGACACTCCAGGTTTCTCCTCTTTGTTTTTCGTGTGCGTGCATGTGCAGAGTTGACACATTACATTTGCACCAAATCCCAGCTATGTTAAAATATCTGATACCTCTGCTGTTATCTGTGGGTAGCTGTTGCTTCAATCCCTGGGAACATTTTTGAATAGCTGCTGTGTGAACCAGGAAATGACCTATCTAAACAATTACAGTTCTGTCTATTAAATTTTACTACCATTCAAATGCAATTATTACATTTATATTCCACTTCTTTTCCAAGGAACTCAAGCAACCCTGCATGGTAGTCCTCCGTATTATCTGCATCATAGCTCTGTGATGTAGGTTAGACTGAGTCAGTGCCTGGCCCAAAGTCACCCAGTGCATCTCATGGCTGGGTGGAGACTAGAACCTGGAGAGTCCCAGGCCCAATGTGCTAGCCACTGCATTGCACTGGCTCTTTAAATCAGACTCCTTTCTCCAATAACTTGATTCATAGAAACATAGAAACAGACCAAGTCAGAAGGGGCCTCCCGGGCCATCTAGTCTGACCTCCGGCACCAGCCAGCTCCGCTCACGACAGGCCCACCATGTGGACATCCAGCCTATCCTTGAACACCCGCACCGATGGAGCCTCAACAACCTCTCGTGGAAGCCCATTCCATTCTATTTCCACCTTTTTTCATTTCTTCCCATTATATGGCTGCATTGCCCCTTCAACTTTCTTGTTGGGCCATGGGAACATTTATTATAAACAGCTTTTTGGTGTGAAATTCTGCAGGGTGTGCCTTATATAATGTGATGATTTGTTCTATCATTCATGTTCTTCACCCTCAGGAATTTCCTGACGATCAATTCCATTTCTCCTCCTTTAGGGTCCTTTTCTTAATTTTTCCTTAAATATTTTTTGAGCATCTTCAAATCTTTGGGTTTCCTCATGTCTGTTAACACCTCTGTCTTGTGCATGGGTAGTGTGGTTTTGGCTACATCTGCATAGTTACAAGGAAGGTCACTTTTAAGAACCTGCACTTTCAAGATGAAACACTTAAATGTTGAAGCCTTTTTTAAAAAGGCAGAACAGCATGCAATATATCTAAATGTTTAGAGCAGAGGAAGTTACTAAGATGTGCTAATGTCTTTCTGCTAATGCACAGGGTATGCATTTAATCAACCACTTAAAATGAGACAAAATTGAAATTGCAATATTTCAGTGGAGAAGCAAGTTTCCTTAATAAACAACAACTTTTAAAATTCATTTTTCCTGCATGTATTTTTGTTACTTAACGTGCCTTTGCATATGGTATGCCAGAGTTACCTCAGTTACTGCAGTAGGAAAAGCTTAACAGTGATGGTGATTAGCTGTATGAGTCCAGATTTAAGGTACCAAGAATTGCAGTATTCGGCAATGCAAGTCACTACCCATATTAGGAAAGCAGGTGCATGGCAGGCAGACATTCTGGGCGGCAATAAGAAAGAAGAAACACGGAGCCGCAAGGGACTAACGGGCAGTTGGCTCGTGCATTGCATGCTTCCATTTCCTTCATATCCAATCCTTCGAAGTACTGGTGGGCGAAGTGTGACCTTTTGTCCTCCAACTCTCATTGGTCCCAGCTGGCACAGGCAATGGTGAGGCAGGAGAGTTGTCAGCCAAAATGTCTGGCAAGTCACAAGTTGCTACATTAAAGAACAGTTTCAGGAGTCCTGTTTCTGTTGCCCAGTACTCCACATAAGCCAGTCCTGTCTCCTCCACCGATAGCGACATTCCTTGGTCTCCAGTGGCCTTTCTCAGCCCTTTCCTCTAGGGAGACCAAGGATGGCATGCGGACATCAATGCAAAACTGATGCTCTACTGCTTAACAATGGCCCCTCCCTCCTCAGGGAACAGGTGCCAATGCTAAATTCTGATCCAATGCAGACTTGGGCCTTCTTTTATTCATTATATGGTTTTCATTCGCAGTGCTTTCAAATGTGCAATTAATTCACGTTAAAAGTTGTGTGCTGTGGAGAGCATCTTGAATACGTATTTGGATGTGCATCCTGATTCACAATGTGTTATGTGAGGGGAGGCCTTCATCCGTATGCAGATCTGCTTAACTGGACTGAAGCGGGGAGGTGGCCCATCTTGACTGAGAAATAACACATCCCGCTAGAACCAGGGACAGAAATAGTGAATACTTCTTGTGGCTTTACTCTTGCAGGAACAGATGACCAGCTCCCATGTCGCTCTATCTGGCTGCTGGGATCTCCTTTGCAGGCTCATCTCCACATGCACCAGAGAGACCTTCAGAGATGAGGCAAAGGGCCATTTGCCAATAACCCTTTTGCTCTCGCAGACCACAGCTATGTCTGCAATAAGCGGCACCCTCAGGGTCAAACAGTAGCCAGGTAGGGGCAATTTTCAGCAGAATATTGGCATGCAGCCCATGTCCAGATTGGGGCCCTGCTTTTTGTCTAACATAAAAGCAGGCAGATTAAACATGCTTGTTTAAACACATGACTAACATTATGTGTGGGTTGGCTCTCCGCTTGCTCTGTTATAAATGTGGCAGTACTCCAGTTGGGTGAAGTGATATTCATGAGTGAATAGTAAGTTTTTTTGCATGGCTCAAATATCTTTTTTAGTGTCAGGGGGTGCAGCTGAAGGAGTGAGTTAGTGGCAACATGCCCCTCCGTTTCCACAGCGATTTTAGGATCCAAGGCAGTTGGGGTTTTTTTTCAGAAGAAATGTAATTAGTTAGCATGTAAAAATAACACTTTTCCAATTTAAAAAATGGGAGATCTTATTTCCACCAAACATGCTGAGTGGAAAATTGCACTAAATTTGAGTAACATGTTTTGTGCCTACTTTTTTGACCCCTCTGCCCTTCAACTTGAACAATATGACAAAGTGGAGGCATTCTAAATGTTTTTATCTTTAAGTAGAGCACCATCAGTCACAGGTTTTAGGTGACGCCCAAGAACATGATTAAATAAAGATGCACACAAAAGCATTGAGATGGACTTTGTCTGCCAAAGGGGAGCCCTTTTAAAGCAATCCATCTTTATGTCAGCAAATTGCTTACTAATGTGTTGACTTAAAAGTAAAATGAAAAGGCTGGAATTTACGGCGTATCAATGAATCAGTTGATAAGCTTTTACTGGTTTAATATCCTCCTACCCCTGCTGCCTGGTGCCACATCAAGTTAGCAACAGAATGTTTGCCATCTCTATGTGATAAAGGAAGTCAAATGGCTATGCAAACTCCCAGGCCATTCTGCTGTTTGTAAGATTTAAATTTAAATCTTTGGGAAACAGTCACGTGGGGAGCTGCACCATTTCACAAATAATAAACCTAGTAGCTTCTTAAACAATGCTTGTATTTTTAGCTAGGTTAAAGATAATGTAATGCATTTTAAAAGATTTAATTACAGCAATAAAATACTTTGCCTCAATTAGATGTCATATACAAGCATAGCATATAGATAAGGATCAAAGAAATCCACTACCTACTCACTTGAATTCTAGGCAACACTTCACTTTCTGTATACACTGGTGTTAAAAATTAGCATAGCTTGGTTGCAGTAACCTTTTGCAGTCCTTTTGATCTAAGTTAGTAAGATCATGAACTGATTAAAGCAGAAGGGCTACTGTACCAGCGTCAGACAAATAAAATACACTCTTAGCAATAAACTTTCAAACACAAGGTCTAACTCTGGAATTTCTTTCCCAGTACAAAACCTGTTTTGTGTGTTCCTGTCAGAGGAAGTGGTGATCTTTCCCCCTTCTCTCCTCACACACACACGTGTGGGCACATTACTGGGCTGCTATCTTTTCAACAGCCTAGTACTTTTATTTGGCTCTACTGCCATTTGAGAAGGTAAGAGATCCATGTCTTACTTTCTTTACAACCTGGAAACAAATCCTGTTTTGAGGATAGTTTTTTTTAATCGACTCGATGCTTAGGCTTTACTACTTTATTATTTCAAATGTAAACTGCAAGACATAGTCGAACAGGCAGTGCGCTAGTATTGCAAACTAAGGCCAGCGGAATTTCCTGGCAGGTGGATGTGCAGAGCATTGCAGGCCCTGCACCTTATGAATCTGACACTGAGGTTACAAAGACTGGAACTGAGCAGAACCAGCCAGAATTTGCCCTTGCCATTTTCTTCAGTAGATTTAATAGCAGTCTGTGTGCCTGTGGATAGCAAAGAGAAACATGGTCTGTTCACGGGGGGAGCCATGCTCTCTCTGCAAGCTGTACAGTGCAGTTTTTCTTGCTGGAGGTGCTGAATCCAACACTGGGTGCTTCCAGATAAGTAAGGGGATCCATACATGACACTGGGACAAAGACACACTCACACGGCGCTATTGACTAGGTGCCATAGTGCTGTATGGCTACCAACATCTGCACCCCCCCCCCCCAGATTTGGAGGCTGGATTAGGTGGCAAAAATTGGGCAGTGCTGCTCAACACGAGGTGGTAAGTACACTCCTAACTTAGACTGATGCAGCTCTAGCCCAGGTAGTTCTTTCCATTCTACTTTTCAGAAGTTAAATGTACAAATATTAAATGCCTGATCTAGTTAAGTGCACAAATATTAAACAAGGTTCTAATAAACATGTATATTAAATATTTGTATACTGACCTTCATCTTATGATACTAGAATGGCATACAGAATGTAATTAAAAATCTTGGTATACAATAAAAATGATAAAACAAAATCAACTACAGCCGTAAACTGTATGAAATGCATAGACAGCTCACATCAACTACATTAATGAGCCAGTTTAAAATACTTGGGCAAACAAAGAAGAAAACATGTAACATCAGCAGACCATATTGAAGGAATGCACCAGTCCTTCCTTCATGTGGCCAGGCCTGCTCTGGTCCTTTAATCAGATCATTTACTACAGCAGAGCAGCTGTCCCTTTTTCCCTGGCTATGTGCAAGCCTTGAGAAAATGCCATGTACTGTTTGTGGCCCTTTCCCTCCTACAGAGCTAAAGCTGAGGGTGACAAAGAGACTATCTAAAGTGGAAACCCCCTGAAATCTTTAAGAGGTTAGACAGGGCTACTCAGAGGGGTAAAGGGAGGATGGTTAACATGGCCCCGTAGTGATACACAGAAAGACCATTCTGGAATACAAGAAACAAGACTAAGAGAATGGATAAACATGAAAACACCATCAACATCCAAACATTTCCCCACATTTTGTGTAACAAAGTGACCCTCTTATGTTATATACCCATATACTAGTTAAGGTCACGGTCTTGACAGCTAAAAACAGAACTGGGTGACTGGTCTGTTCATTTGTTTTTAACTAAAAGAACACTGGGAAGGGGAAAAGGACAACTTTACATTGGAGTAGTCTTCAAGGCTGGAACACCCATCACACCCATTGCGCCATGTACAAAACTTCCTTGAGCTGTAGCTGTGGACACACCCTAGGTCATGGTCAAATACCAAGTCCTCACCTTTAAACCACCCATTGCATCATTTCAAGTTCTACAGAATTCCTTTCATGATAATGACTAAGGTCTGATTTATATGCTTTATTTGGGGCAAGATAAAGTAACCTTAATGTCACCATATCAGTTCTGTATGAGAAATGTATTGCTTGAATATGCCCTCACATGGTGAGAGTTGGTATTTACTGTGACAGAGCAAAAGCATCGAAAACAACTTTTTCAACTAGGCAACAGAGTATTTTGTAGTGTTACCTATTCAGTAATGTCACTGTTGAAGCATGAGATAACCCCTAAGCCAGAGGTGGAGATTCTTCATGCTGTGACCCTTTTCTGTGTGACGTTATGCAACAATGAACCATATGCTGGCCTGGTTCATATGATCAACTCGGTCCACTGCGGATTGTCAATGCCATGGGAGCCACAGTGTGTACGAGGCAGTTACTAAGTCTTCCAGTTTGCTGTGTCATAAAAACCTGGCTGTAGGGATTGTGTCCGGGTTAAACAGCCATCGCATAACCCGAGGACAGCCCTTGGGTTCTGTGAAGACTCATTCATCCTCACTCCTCAGTTCCTGCCTGGGCTTGGGTGGACAAGCTGTACCAAGACTATTCAGAGCGGCTGCCTGCCTGTGTCTTGGCGCACACTCCGACGCAGGTTCAAACAAGGATTGTGCTTGTAAATAAGCCACAGGCTCTTTGCTCATACAAATGAGCCCTTCCTATATCTCCTTTTAATGTTCTGGAATGAACATAGTTGGCTCATCCTAGATATAGATAAGGTGCCCTTTTTGGGTGTACTGAATCATATTACCAGAGCACTGAAATAGCTGACTTACAGGATTTGGCTTTGCTCAACTCAGACAGCCCATGTTTCATTAGTGTTTAATTAACTGTTTAATCAACAATTAAATATGGAACTATAAATATAACATTCTCACAGAACTAAATAAAGAGTATTTTAAACCATGTGCTCAATTCCTTTTGTGCAATTGGCAGCCTGAATACATAAAACTGTTGCCCTGACTAAGCAGTTTTCAGCTACTCTATGTCATAATATCCACAAATTATTTTCCTGCAGTAGATTGCTACAAAGGGTGATAAAATTATCACTGACGTAGGTATGATATACATCATAGCAGTTTTTATGCCACTGTTGTAAGAAATATCCCTTATTCTGAGTAATTTGGTCAATATTTTGCTTTGGTGCCATATTGCACTGGGCGTGGAGATCATCATTAAGCATTTACAAATGCCTCACATACCTTTTCCTCAAAGAATTTTTTCCTTAACTTGGCATCTTTTGGAGGCATTGTATTTCTGACGTTTTTATACCATTTTCTAACAAAGTATCCCCTCCAGAAAGCTTGAATTCTGGAAAAAAATACAACAAAAAGATAATTTTTCCTTTTCAGATATTTAAAATCATGCCAACAGGTTATTTATGCCAACCCTCTGCTCAAAACTACAGTTGGAAGCAAGGCTGTTTCCCCTGGCTGCTGCAGGATGGATAGTCAAGAGAGGTGGATGCAGGCAGGAAGTGTCTTCTTTTTCAAATCTGGCTAGGTGTGTATTGCATGGATCAAGCCACTAATGCTGAGGAGGGGGAAGGAAAAGTTCCATTTAATGGTAGGAAGGCTCTGATGCCTCTCTGCCATCACTGCATATACTGGCAGCCATCCAGCAGAGCCCCTTCAGGTGGCCGAGGGGCTGCTTGGTGTAGGCTCAAGGATGCAAGCAGCTCAAATTTAAGATTTTAAACCTCCAGGTTTGTTGTGACCATTTTGCATATAAAGATACTTGTATCCATGCTAACTTGAATGCTTCTATTTTGACAAACAGAAATGTATATGGCCAGTGTGTCTTCTAGGTTCTTTAAAAATATCTATTTGGCTAATTTGAGCATTTTATTCTTGGGCTTTTGAAAAGCTGCTTTGCTTTTCAACTGCCAGCTATCAAGGGTGCACAAATGAACCCTAAGCAGCTGTGCTTCATCAAGGTCCATGGATATTACCAACTGCCCTTTGACAGCAGCACTTGCAGGACACTGACCAGGCAAAACCCCATGTGGAGGCACAGAGCGTGTGAACTGGAATGTTCCCAAAGAAACAAAAACCAACAACTCTGCCTCACAGGCCAACCGATTTTCTGGGCAAAATCCAATTAAACTAAAATAAACTCAATCTCCAGTTCAAATCTGAAAACTGAGTGAAAGTTCTGCATTAAATACAAAACTGTGAGATGGGATGGTTGAAAATACTTGAGTAATTTGAAGTAGCATTCCTGAACTTCGCAGTATTAACAACGCATCCGTCACTGCACTGCACGCTGCATGCAGACTGTTCCACAAATATTTCTCAGTGAAAACTGCTTTGTCTTTCCCAAGTCATCCTTACCTTGTAGCACACTTTATTTTAAATAGGCGTGCTCCATCATGAATTACTCGGGTCTGATATTGTATCTTTCTACACATTGGACAGGTCTTTTTACCTGCAAATCTTTCAAAAGCTTTCAAGCATGCCTGGAAAAATAACATTCAGCATTAACTTGAAATTAGTCACCTCACACACACCCCTGCATGGTTTATTCGTGGGTGCAGGACATGCAATGGTTGCACAGAACCCAGCCGCAGGGATGAGGGAATGCACGTTCTGATAAAATTAAGGGAAAATATTACTCCCATCTGATGGAGGTGGGGACTGGGCAGGGAAGGCATTCCTGAATCAAATCTTTCCATGACCCCAGAAGCTTTATGCACGTCTTAGTAGAATGGGGAGACGTACGGCTCAGATAAATTCCAGATTTACCTTGCACTGCATTATAGTTTTACATGTAGTACAGTACAGTTTTATCCATTTACATTAATAGACTATTTTAATGAAACAACTCTGAGGAAACCATGGTAAACAAGCAGCTACATATTATTACATCTTGCAAACTTTTATGGTGAGGCAGGGGTGCCTTCTGTGCTAGGTCATGGGTGGTCAATCTCCACTGACACAACTGAGGCACAGAGAGCCTTAGCATGAGGCATTTGTCCTCGTGCATGCAAATGGGGGCATTTCAAAGCAAGGGACAATGTCTCAAACAGTATCCTGCACTAATTTTTCGAATTATGAGGAGTACAAGCAAAACACGTCAATACTTTACATTCATATAAATGCTATTTTTCAATTCCAAATAAATATTTTTGCAAAAGCCCGATCTGATGCACATTTCAATTTTAGGAGATAAAGGTGGGGTCTACTTACTCTGTGGAACACGTGAGAGCACGAAAGCAAAACCTGTTCAGAGAGAATAAGGACACCTCCTGAAACATAAACTCATGGGGAAGATGCATGTTGCTCTTAATATAATTAAGGGAAATTTCCAAGGCAGATAAATCTAGTCTTCAGTGCAAAACCAGAGAGACTCTGTGGCCTCTGGACGGGCACTTAGAGGGCCACGGGATGCTTTGGATTCCCAGCCCAGAAGAGCACGCCACTTCCAGAGCAGGGGTCTGCGCTCAGGCTGCCCTCCCCCTCGCAGTGAGCATGTGCAGAGCCCCATCGGCTGCTTCTCTGAGCACAAGGATCAACTTCAAAGAAAGGGCAAGGGAGGCGTTCTGGGCAGGGCAGGATCCTGGCTCTGCCTGCTTATGAGGGATTGTGCTGGTCTTCTGGCCTACTTCCCTCTTTCCAAAGCATGGCATCAGACAGCTGCAACTGGCCATCGCACTGATCTGCAGGGCCTGAGGAGAGGCCAAGGAAGACTACTTCCATGTCCCTCCTGCCCTGAATGTGTTGTGTGAACATCGCCACTTAGACAAAACAATGAGAGCCAGTGTGGTGTAGCAGGGAAGAGCGTGGACTGGTCCTTGCTCAGCCATGGAGCCAACTGGGTGGTTTTGGGCCAGTCACAGACTCTCAGCCCAACCCGTCTCACAGGCTTGTTGCTGTGGGGAGGAGATTGAGGGCCGGTGGAGGAGAAAGATGTAAGCAGCTTGGAGTTCATATGGAAAATGCTTATGAGATACAAATCGATCAAGCAAAAACAAAGGACAATCGTTTGGCTCTAGGCTAAGAAAAGAAAACTCAGGGCCAGTTGATCAATCTAGTGGGCTATGAATTGTGGGTTGCTTTTGAAATGTAGGTTATCATTTTGTCTGAACCCAGCTGTGATAACAAAGGATGGCAAACAATTCAGTTTGCAACCTGACAATGAAACATGAGTTCTTTTCATGGGTTATTTGTGGTTCAGACAACACCATATAACACACTTCAACAACCCACAGTTCAGTGATAACTCTTACTTATCCCTCACGAGGAGGTTATCATGTTGTCTAAACCCAGTCTAGATCTTGTTACACTAACAAACACTTAGGTGCTTTTGCTGGGCCACTAAAAAAGTCTGATGTCACAGATGCTTAGGACTGCAGAATATAAGAACATGGCATGCATTATACGTGCAGTAATTAAAGGAAACAACAATTCAACATCGTCACTTATTTCAAAGTAAAGCTTTTAAGATATACTTCCTTGACCTGTATTAACATCCCCTCTTCTTGCAAGCCATTATAACATTGTACACTTCGTGTTTCTAAAAATAATCGTGCTCTCCACTGAGACCTTCCTTTTACAGCAAAATGAAAGTGACAAAGCAATCTTTTGTGAAAATAAGTAATACAGAAGTAATGAAATTGGGGGGGGGGGGGAATTGAGTCCTCTTGAGCTAAGTTGAAATGAATGGGTTAAAAAGCTAACGGCTGAAAAAACTAGAAATATTTTGGGTTAATTTTCTTCTAAGTGAAATACATGCAAAAGAAAAAAAATCTACTTGCTGGCCTTTGTCTTTCTTTTTTTTTAGCTCAGTGTCTGGGTCCAAATGCGTTATTCTCTTATTACCGCGACAGCCGGATCCTATGGACCATTCCAACACTGCTTTCATTGACATATCATACAGTCCGCGGGTCTCATCCCAAGCCCTGTCCTCTAGTCTGCAAGTGACTGTTACTGTGGTGAGGAGGGCTTCATGGAGAGGAACCCTCTTGTATTTCTGATCCGAGGTATGAGATTCTCGCTGAGTGTGCTTCACCTGTCCTATACCTGCCTGCTTGCAGCATGCAAGGGGAAAGCAAGGCTGGTCCTCTCAGGAGCTCACTGAATCTGGACAGAAGAGCCAAGGAGACCCTGGAAGTATGCCCACGTGCATGCCTTCCTACCCTACCTGAGACCAGGTACTCACAGCCCTTTCAGCCTCTAAAGCACTTCAGCTATTGGGCAGTACAGAAATTAAATAAATGATAATAATCTGGGAGTACTCTGCTTCTTTTGTCACCATCCCTACATGGGGAAGTAAAGGGATGAGCAAAGCAAACTAACCAACGTATCAGTTAGGGCTTGATGGCATCAGAGTGTGAGCACCTGCCCTGAATGTTAATAATCCACTGCCAAAGTTTTTCTGTGTTTGAGGCCCATTTCTTCCATATGCTTTCCCCACCCGCTTGGCTGTTTACACAAAAGTGGATACATAAGCCATTCAAAGGGACCTGGAATGCTGTGTCTTTTGATTAGGACTGAACTTGAGCTGCTTCTAATAGCTAAACAAGAAATGTGATATAAGAAATCACAAAAGATGTTACCAGTTCTTTGTGAAAGTTGTCGTTCTTGCTCAGGTGACTGCACATTCTTTCCCAAACCAAGGAAAAGTTTCAACAGTTTCAGTGTGCACATTAAACATATACAATATCAAGCATGTGTGGATACAAGAAGAATGGCCATGTGTGCCAGGACAAAGAAGCAAATCAACATATCACATGGTTAGACTTTCCCAGCCTTGCTTGTTCATGCTTTGACTGATTGCAGTCAATACTGCAGTGTATGTATGTATGAATGTATGTATTACAAGCATTTATATCCCATCCTTCCAACAAGCGCTCAGGACGGTTTATGCAATATAAAATTACAATAATACAATAATAACACCACAATTATTAAAACAATATAAAACAGAACATCATAAACTAAGAAAAAAGAAAAGGGAGGAAAAGAATAGAAAATGTGACTGTGGGAAGGGGGGAAGCTTAACACATCTAAAACCCTTGATTATTTAAATGATGGTTAAATAAAAAGGTCTTTACCTGGCGCCAGAAGTACAAATTTGGCGCCAGGTGGACCTCTCTGGGGAGCACATTCCATAGTCTGGGCGCCACTGCGAAGAAAGCCCTCCTCCGGGTAGACACCCTTCATACTTCCTTCAAAGAGGGTTCCCGGAGCAAGGCCTCCCCTGCTGATCTTAAGGGGTATTCTGGACCTAAACCGTTTATGGGATATATATGTATGGGATAGTTATTTGTTTATTCAATGTATTTTCTGCAGTTAATTAGTCCCAAGGACTCTCTAAGAGGATTACAAAGAAAAAGTAAAAAATAAAAACATATAAACATATAATAACAAACAGTAACAGTATACAATAAAATATACATTATGTAGCTGAGCGATCAGGGAAAACAGATTAAAATAGTATATTAAAACTAAAAACAATATAAAGCTACCTTAAAATTAAGAATATAAAATTATTCAAATGTCTGAAGAGCAGGCTCATTTTTGCCTGGCACAGAGAAATTTGTAATGATGGGACCAGGCAAACTACTCTTGGGAGCTCATTGCATAGATGGGGTGCGAGCACTGAGAAGGTGCCACTTTTATTTGCCATCCTCCTTACCTTGTCTGATATCTACCATAAAACCTAGAAGGTTGGATAGAAACCAGGATACCTGTGGCTGAAGTGCAAATTCTTCTCTGCATATGGCACAAGGCTGAACAGAATCTCCCTGTCTGACGGAGCGCTGCTTCACGAGTTCCCATTCTGTCATGGTTAGTGGCTGAGCTGGAGGTTCCACCAATCCAAGTCTCTGAGCTACAGACGAAACAAAAAGAATGGAAATGAAACTGACACGTATTTAATATTTCACATCAGCACCATCTTTGGAGCCAGGCATTCATTTGGAGTATTTTTCTTTCCCTGTAATTCCAAGAAATGGAAAGATTGAGGAGAAATTGAGCCCCCAAATTTTTGACTTTCCTCCTCAAAGCTTCGAAGTCTGCCATGATTTCTTCAAAGCTCTGTTCACACATGTGTAAGAAAAACGGGATACATGCTCGTGGGTGTATGAGCCTTGGCGATCTTTCTGCTATATCACTAATCAGTCCTCCAAGAAGGCAGCATACCTGACAAGCCCACAAGTCACCCTGACACGCGTTTCCATCCCATGCAACAGGGACTCCTCTCTTCATATCACTGCCAGTTGGTTGTCCTCTTGTTCAGCGTTGCATGGGATGCCTTGCAGTTCTTCCACTCATCCTCGAGGAACTGGACCTTCAGAAGTTCTACTTCCACTGCTGCAGTGCCTTCTAGTTCTGCCCATCACCCTTTTCCAGGGAGTTTCCTCACTTTCCCGTCCCTCAGGGTTCTCTTCTTCTGCCTCAGCTTGCTGTTGCACTTCTAGCTTCTCTACTCTTCTTAACTGATGCAGTTCTAGTGCTCTAAAAACTATTCATCTTCTTTTATTACCTTGAGGGAGGGCACTCATTGTCTCTAGGGCTCTCACCTTTTCTTCTAACAGGCGACTAGCTTGCATTTGTTGCATGTGTAAGCCATGCTGACCTCAGACAGGAAAACAAACATTGCACAGATGTTGCAGGTCACCACCACTGGGGAAGCAAGTTCCATTGTATGAAATGGGATTTACTCCCAGGCAAGTGTGCATAGGACTGAAACTATTTTATTTACTCTTAGACCTCACTCATTCAAACAGGCAGACACGCCATCTGAAGAATTCTAACAGTAAGTTGCACTTTTTTCTCAGTCAAGCAGAAGCTCTGACAACTCTTCCTTGAAGTCAGTTGTTGGGAGAATGGCCATGGATCTGGGTTGCAGTGAGCTAAATAATAAAAAATTAAACAACTTAACATTTTACTCCATAAATTTCAAATGATACTTGCATCTACCTCCTGTCCCAAAGAAACTACCCCACATATTTTATCTTATAAAAAAAAGCACTGAAAAATATTAAATTGATGAGGTTGGTCAATTAATTGTACATTTCTCAGAAATGCAGGGCGAGTTTGTCCAAACAAAAGGTATCATTCTGGCAGAGTGAAAAAATAATTCTCCAGCTAGTAATTTGGCTGCACTCAGTTGCACAATTACCTTGGGATAAGTCGTCTTGTACTCGGTGTGGCTTGCTTCGGGTTATCTATTCTGTTCAACAACGTGTGCTTTGAAGGACTTGTTAATTCTCTGACATTCATGGAATATCTAGACCAGGGGTCTCAAATTCAACTTACCTGGGGGCTACTGGCAGTAGAGTCTGGGTGAGGCTGGGCCGCATCAAGTATTCCACCCCCGCGGTGGTGGTGGGCCGCTCATCCCGTGGCCGGCCAGGGTGCCGCCGGCACTTTGAAGGCTGCAGGGCCCCTCCCTTGTGCCCTGTCCGTCCCGGCAATTGGCCTACAGGCCGCGAGTTTGAGACCCCTGCTCTAGATTGTATCAAGAATTTTTGTTGGCAACTAATCGGGATCTCTCCCCACTCAAGAAGTTCTTCATGTAAATCCTACCTCAAGTATCTTCAACTATAACCAATACACAACCAACCTTACTAAGAAAACATGCCCTTAAAAGAATAAATAATGGAGCCACTTCTGTGTAAAAGGCTGCACAGGACTGTACATTTCATTACTGCTCCAGACAAGACCAGACAAGTCCGATCAATAGTGATACATCCTATCACACCTGGATGAAAACTTATGGATGAATAATGCCTGGGGCATTTGGTATGCAGTGGAAAGTTAGGACATAAGAGCTTTTAATAAACAACCAGATCTAAGATCTTATCTTTTGAAACACAAGGCTACAATCCTATATTGCTTTACCTACTGCTGAAATTACAACTGAACTAATTGGGGTTTACCTCTGAGTAGGCATATGTAAGATTGCATTTATGATACTTCTATTTTTTAATGCACTTGGGGTATTATTAGAAGACTGCAACAAAATCAAACCAGTAGTGAACTGAAGGTGTATGGGCTAATATACTGAAGGAAACCAAGTGTGAGCAAATCTTCAATAAATATTACCCACTGTAAGTTGTTGGTCTATGGTAAGTCCTTTACTGAAAGAACATTAAGACTGCATACTTCCAAACCTTAATGAGCATCTAGTTGCTTACCCTGATATTCTACACTTATTTTATTTTTATTTTTATTTAAAGCATTTTTATGCTGCCCCCATCACAGAAAGCGTCGGGGCGGCTTACTTAGTTTTTGCTTCTTAGGAAACAGCAAAGGGGCTTGAATTTTGCAACAGAATATTATAAATTTCGCGGTAACATTTTAATGTTAACACAAGATTGCAAATATTTTGGAGACAGTGTGGTGTAGTGGTGAAAAGTACAGGACTAGGATTCAAGAGTGGGTTCCAGTTGCCACTCTGCCATGGAGCCAACTGGGTAACTTTGGGTCAGTCAGACTCTCAGCCCAACCTACTTTACAGGGTTGTTTTGAGACTAAAGATTGAGGAGGAGGAGCAGAATTATGCAGAATTATGTAAGCCATCCTAAGTTTCTTGAAAAAAAAAGTCAGGCTATAAATATAATAAACAAACATCTTGCCCATTTTCAAAATGGCTACACTGCGACATTAAAATGGCTCTCCAAATTTATATTGGTTTTCCTCTATCTATTGTAGCAGACAAATGAACTTCCAACCAAGACCAGTTCTTAACTGTTTGCTTTTAAATGTGTCATTTTCCATTTCATTATTGTGATGTTTAAAAGCTCAATTCTACAAGCATAAAAATGGCTGGAAAGTTGTAAAGAAAGGGGGAGGAGACAAAAAGTTAGCAAATTAAATGTGTTTCTGTTATTGGGTTAATAAGAGTGATGTAAAAACATGTAGCATGAGAGCCAGAAAAGTGTAGAGGTGGCAGCTGGGTAGGTATTCCTGGTTGTCAGTCAGATGTTATTGCAGGGCAGTATTATGTTTTCCCTCTGCAGCTCCTATTTCCTGAGACAAGATTCTAAGCTTTGGCATCCATGCACTGTATTATGAGGCATGTCTGTCTCTTCTTGATTTGAAGTAGGTGTTTAACTATGGGCTTTATTACTGGGTTTGCCCCCAAAACATAAAGAAAACAGAACTTGTATAGATTCGAGCAAGGTTAGGCAAAGGTTCACATAAAGAATTATGCCTAGGCAAGTAGCTCGCTTTTATAAAAGCAATAGCCACCCAAGTGTTTATAATCAGCCTACAACTCTAGATGGTGCTAATGCAGCTTCATTGCACTGTATTGTCAGTCACTACTATACAGAACTTTGTTCCTAAATGGCAAAACATTTTTTCTAGCATAATGGTTTTTTGCTATCCCTCAACACAGCGGAAATCAATTTACATATATGAAGGATGGGGGGAAGCGATTGTTTAGGGCACTGTCCTTTAACATAATAGATTAGGATATTTTAAAGAAACAATTCACACAAGGATTTATGTATACAGTCCTAGTATCCTTGGGACCTTTTTTCTTGTAAGTGAGCATGATGTGTGAACAAACATGATGTGTTCAAAACTTTGTCAGCAGGAATTTCTATAAGCCTACTGGCATCTTTTTCTAACCATTGCAATCAGCTCATTTTCTTTTGACAATTGCAGCCACCTTAGTTCACACAGTAAGTGTCTCTCCATCTGGAAGGGGACATTTTGACCTTAACTCTTTAAATAATTTGGCACCAATCTTTAAACTTTTCTTCTCTGTACCAAGTTTAGGGCCTGCATGTTCAGAGGCAGTGTTTCTCTGAGTAACAGATGCTTAGGCAAACAGATATTTCTGTTTCTTCACTCTTTGTTTGTAAGCTTCCAAGGAACATCCAGCTGGCCACTGCTGGAAAGAGATAAAATAAAAACTGCATGTATCTGCATGCAAGAACTAGCAGGACTCTTTATGTTTTTATGTTACATCGGAATATGGAAAAGAGAACGTGCTTAGTATAATCTAATCAGTATTGTTAAGAAGCAAAAGCATCCACACTACAACGTGACGATTTACCTAAAGTGAGAGGCTGAGGACAAGGATCAAGAACATATTCCTTTTCTGGATCTTCATTTTTCGGTTGGTGGCTGCTTTTTTTCCTTAGTCCAGTATCTACTACTGCCCTGACCGTCTCTTTGTTCGCAGGTCTGAATACGTTCTTTTTACTCTGTGTCTTTGACTTAAAAGGATCTACTAATGAAAGATTCTGCAGCTGAAGGTTATGTAAAATGTGATCTTGTAATGCCACTGCAGTAAGTGCTACAGATTCTTGTTTGCAGGAACTCCCCTAAAAAGTTTCATAATAATTATTATAAATTACTTCTGTAGTGCACATTATGTTCAGCATATTAAACAACAAAAGAAATTCAGCCCTTAGCCAATGAAGCTTTTTTAAAACCTTGACAGAGGCTTTATTCCATACAACTCCCATGCTTGAAGTCTTACTAATATACAATTACCATAATATGAAACTTAAGATTGATGTTTGACACATCCTAACTTTAACTCAAATAAAGGCAAAAGACATCTTTGATTTATCATTTATATTAAATAAAATAGCAGCAATTTTTAAACTTTTAATTACTGAACCCATAATTATTATGTGCAATAAACTCATTATGAACTATAAAAGTTTGACATGCCTAAACATATTTTGTTTCAATGTAATTAAAAACAAAACCTAGGGCTACTCTTGCCTTCCAAAGCAACTGCACATTAAAAAAAGGGAGAGAATGTCAGTAGATAATATGCTATATACTTTAATTCAGCCAATTACAATACCTCATTTTAAAGGCTACAACTTTTAGCACGCTTTACAACCATACGATCAGTGTACCTTGTAACACTTCTTTTGCATTATGGACCTGGAAGGCGTGATTATTTTCTTATCTTCGAGACAGAATGATGCTCTGCTGATCTGCACTATTGGTACCATACACTGGCACTCTTGTAATCCTAAAAACAACAAACACAATTACTAGAAGAATAACTGGCACAACAATCCAATCTTTGGGTGTATGCAAAACACGCTGGCATAAATCCATGTTGTCCTGTTGTATATGAGCAAAGGGGGTACACCAGCCTATTATGCTATGAGTCAGATCCAACATCACAGTTGACTGTCACAGAAAAGATACAGACATTTCTGCTGACACAGGTGTAATGATCACAACACTTTCAGCTGGATATTTAGAAGAACTGACCTCAGGAAGACTTAAATTGATCTCTCCTTTTAAAAAATCTGCTCTTCTTCTGTTCTACAATAGCTTCTATTATCAGCTTAAATCTATTTATTGCTTGGCTATGTAGATTGTGTATAAGAATTTTAAGATCTTCAAGAATTTAAAGTAGATTCTAGCCAAAACCGAAAGCTAAAAATCTTTCTTCAAGGGAACAATCCCATGGTCCCCAGACATGGCCTGCTGGGAACTAGAGTTCTGGCAACTGTTCCCTTGAAGTTGATGCACAAAGAACCACTCCAGCTGTTTTCTGAGGTCAGGAAAGCAACCTCAGCTAAAAGGGGAGAGGTGGAGACCAAAGTGGCCAGGTTATCAGGTGTCCTGAGTCCATCACAGCCTCCAGTTTCCTTCCCTTTTCCTTTGAAACATGATTGCTGTTGTCTAGTGTAAATGCAAAATGGAAGGAGGTGGGAGTCATCTCCATTGCTCCTCCCACCGTGTCAGAATTGCACTGCACTCAAAAAGTCCGAAGAGCTTACCTGGAATACTGTATCCAGTTCTTGGCACTGCATTATATTCATGATGGTGAGTGCCCTACTGTAGTTGATTTACTGTGCCATGATCTGCTGTTGTTTTAAATTATTTCAAATTTAAATAATATTCTGGCTATTTTATAGGGCATTTTTCTGCATGTATTATAAAAATAAACTAAACAGAATAAATATAGAGTGCTAGTACGGTGTAGTGGTTAGGCAGAGGCTGAGGAGTCCCAGGTTCAAATCTCCACTCAGCCCTGAAACTCGCTGGGTCACGCTGGGGCCAGCTGCTACCTTTCAAAGTAACCTACCGCACAGGATTGCTGCAACATTAATGTGGGGAAAGGAAAGGATCATACACTCTGAGGAAAGCTGGAATATATTCCAAATGTTTTGGGTCTGTGGAACTAGGATGCTTCCAGACAGAGAACTGTGCAGTTATTCATTTGCACCTTAACAAATAGTAAGCAGTAACAAAGCACAAAGTAGAAAGCCGTGGAAAAATATGGGGAGAGTTATGAGAGGAAGATGCATGGACTCCTTAAAGTTTTGTGAATGAGGCGAGAGCCTCTTCTGAAAGCATCCTGAAGGGACGCTGATGCTAATCTCTGCCACCAGCCAGGGGACCCAGAAAAGCTGCAGCCACGCTCCTCAGCCACAGCTCAGCAACAGCACCACCGCAAGCAGGAACCCACCTGGCACTGCTCCGCAAGGCCTCGCTTTCTTCTATGTCTATGATAATAGTACGTGAGCCTGCAGGCAGGGATGGTCCCGTCTTTTCATCTCTGCACAGTACTTAAAACGTTTTGGAAGCTGCCTTATGCTGAATCAGACCGACCATTTATCTAGCCTAATATTCTCGACACCAAATAGCAGCAGCTTGCTGGCCCTGCCTGGAGACACGGTGGGTCAGAGGTGGGGCCGTCTGCATGGCCCGCATGTGGCTCACCCCCAAGCGCCTGGGCCTTCCCAAGCCATTTTAGGGCTGTTTTTGGACCGGGAGCACGAAGCCAAGTAGCACTTCTCCGTCTAAGCATGCACAGGTTTCCTGCCGTAGGTGCTTTAGAAGTGACTATAAATAATGGAATATTCATTATTGGGTGTATTAGAAATGTTGTAAGTGCACAGGATAATAATAAAGTGAATTTAATATCAGAACATCAGTTGTTGGATTAATATGTAATATGTAAATATATGCTAATAGATATGTGAATAATAGTAGAACATTAGTTGTTGGGTAGATTAGAGATGTAATAATAAAATAGTACTAATAAGAGAATAATAGTAGAACATTAATTGTTGGGTGGATTAAAACGTAAGAAGAAAGTAATAGGCGAGTCGCGATGAAAGAATATTGATTGGCTATCAGGCGGGTTATAAATGCACTAATTAAATGCAGTAAGACGCATGAGCGCGGGAACAGCGCTAGTCCTGAGGGAGCGCGGCGGGCGCAGGAGCCTCCGACCGGCCGCTCCAAGGTGGGCGCCTCGCTCGCTCTGCCACGAGCAAATGTCAAAGAAGCCTCGGGCGGGAGGGGGCGCTGACGTCATCCCGGCCGTTCCTCTTTACCTTCGGAAGAGGGGGGAAGGTCACGCGCGGGGTCCTCCCGCCTCCTTCGTTAGAGCACACCGACCTGACCGACGACCCCTCTCGGCTCCTTGCGCGGCTCGTGCACACCGCAGGTTGCCAAGCAACCAGGCACCACACAAAACCCGTTTTGGAGCCGAGAGCGGCGGCGCGCGCACGAGAGAGAGAGAGAGAGAGAGAGAGAGAGAGAGAGAGAGAGAGAGAGAGGTTCGCCTACTACTCGCGGCGCGCGAGCGACGGGACGCACGTACGGCTGGTGGGGGCGCGCGCGCGTCAAGAGTGCCCGCCGCGAGGGAGCGGAACGGCGCAGGCGCGGTGTTCTAGTGCGCCTCCAGCGGCGGGCGCGGCAGGTGGGCGGTTCCGCCTGCTCGGGCCGCGGCGGTTCTGGCCGGTAGGGCCGCGAAGCCGCAGGGCAGGCGCGGCCGGGGGCGGGGGGCGCTGCCCGTGCAGTCCGCGAGGGACGAGCTTCTTGCGAAGCGGCCCGGCCCGGCGCGCCTGCGCCTTTTCGCCCTCTGGATGGGTCTCCCCCGTGGCTTGATGCCGCTCCTGCTTCCCCAGGCGGAGCGTCAGAAAGTCGCCCGCTCCCTGACTGCGGCGTGGAAAGGAGAGGGCGGAATCCTCTCGAGAGCCGCTTGCGCGTTACGAGCACGTGGAAGCGCAGGCGGAAGGCGGTGCGAGATGGATGGGCTCCGTAAAGGGCGCCTCAGCACTGCGTTCGCAAGAGCGGAGCGGGGCTGCGGGCAGGACATTTCCGGGGGCGCGACCATAAACGGAGAGAGGCAGCGCGGTGTGGTGGAGCGAGACCCGGCTCTAGTGTAGTCTTGGCCCTTAAGCTCACTGAAGCTCTGGGCTAAGTCACTCACTCGCAGTCTAAACCACCTCGTCCCCTTGTCAGGATGAGATGGAGCCATGTAAGGGATCCTCACGGGAGAAAAAACAGGATTGAAATGTAATCTCCAATGTAAGTTGGAGGTGACGTGATGTTAGTCGCGCAGTCACGAAGACACGTCTGGCCCATCGCGACCCCATGGACAACACTCCTCCAGGCCTTCCTGTCCTCCACCATCCCCCGGAGTCCACTCAATCTCACACCAACTGCTTCAGTGACTCCATCCGGCCACCTCATTCTCTGCCGTCCTCTTCTTCTTTTGCCATCTATTGTTCCCAGCATCAGGATCCTCTCCAGGGAGTCCTTCCTTCTCATTAGGTGGCCAAAGTATTTGAGTTTCACCTTCAGGATCTGGCCTGCTAAAGAGCAGTCAGGGTTGATCTGCTCTAGGACTGGCCGGTTTTGGCCTTGCGGTCCAAGGGGCTCGATATCAAGGTGACTTGATCGCATGAGACTTTTCCCCCATGTGAACCTCTCTTGCCTTGAAAAAGCCTTCACCTGGGAACTGAAGAACTGCTTTGGCCATGTCCAGTGGAAATTTTTGACGCTTGCTTATTTTTATGCATCCGCTCTTTACTTTGTACCTCACCCTTAGTTCTGAGGAACTCTGTTTCCCTGTCATCTCTCTCTCTCAATAAATAGATGCATTATATTAATAATGACCATAGATAGGTTAAACAGTAGAATTCTTTGAATGGTAGTCCCCCTTATTAAAAACTATTTATAAAACTCCCCTTGTTTTCAAAATAAGTTTGCCCTGCTACAGAAAGGGAAAGATATTGTTTGAGGTCAAAACAGTTGAAATTTAAAAAGAAAAAGCATTACCAAAGATTTGGCCATGCTGCTGCTGCCATTTTCTCTTCCCTAATAATAAAAAATAATGCTACATTGCCAACAAAGAAGAAAAAGCCATGACTTTGACAGGCTTCATTTGCTTGGGCTGAAAGCTACAGGGTTTCATTTTCATAAGTTGCACTTGGAAAAAGCCTATTCTGTTTCCAAGTGTTGTGCAAAAGTTGCCTTACATAAGCTTGAAGCCTTCTGGATTCATTGTGTCCAGACCATGGTGGATAAGAGGATGAAAGAATGTTGGTTGTCTGCATCCAACTTTTTCCTTAGAGCTCTTGGTATATCCAGTTCATCCCGTATAACAATGTTATGAAGCTTATCTTTCTCAAGTATGATTGTGGGAATTGTTATCCTTCACATTTCCCCTGTCCATCCACATACACGGTCGTCATTAGGGTTGTGTAGCTGAGCTCCTTGTATGTTCCCTGGATGTGATTATGTGTAGAAAAAAGTTAAGAGTGAAGGGCTGGCTGGTGGTTGGGAGTTGAAGGACAGAGCATTGTGCTGTGCTGCTCAGCACCAAGCCATCGTTCTCCTCTGAGGTGCAATAAAGATTGCTCTCCCATTGCTGGTGCTGAAATAAGACTCAGTAGTCGGGCCAGGCCAGGCCAGGCAGTTTCTGTATGTGGGGTGGTAGATGTCATCCGGGGGTGGGTGGGTGGGGTGTTCCGTCTTGGTCTGTTCTTGCTTGCAGACCACCGCTCTGACTTCAACAGCCATAACCCCCGATAGCCATTGCATAGATTCAGCAGCATGTCTGATAGGGCTATGCAGATGCAGACCTCACACAGGCAACATGCAGAGTTTGGAGGTGTATGGCCTGCAGACAAGA